AAGGACAAAACACTCACTGTACAGAAAATGATTAAACTATACATGTACATCAGTTCACATAAGTTACTGGGTAAACAATATGCCAAGCAATATGCCAAGCAGTCAAATGCACTTGGTATTGACCCCACGACTGGTGTCTGGGGTACTTGTTCATTAAGGGCCGGTTTCCCGGACACAGATTAAGCCTCTAAAATGTCCAGTGTAGAACTCCCCTACAATAACCCATGTGTAGCCTACATTATGTATTCAATTTTATTCACACTTAATAGACAATCAACACATTTGAATTTGTTTGGTGACAACAATATTACAGACAAGACACATTGTAGACTATATCATAGGACACAACATTACAGTAACATCTAGATTAATACATTAGCTATGTTGTCACAAGTAGGATATTTCATTTACAGTGGGGAAAAAAAGTTTTTAGTCAGCCACCAATTGTGCAAGTTCTCACACTTAAAAAGATGAGAGAGGCCTGTAATTTTCATCATAGGTACACGTCAACTATGACAGACAAAATGAGAAAAAAATTTCCAGAAAATCACATTGTAGGATTTTTAATGAATGTATTTGCAAATTATGGTGGAAAATAAGTATTTGGTCAATAACAAAAGTTTCTCAATACTTTGTTATATACCCTTTGTTGGCAATGACACAGGTCAAACGTTTTCTGTAAGTCTTCACAAGGTTTTCACACACTGTTGCTGGTATTTTGGCCCATTCCTCCATGCAGATCTCCTCTAGAGCAGTGATGTTTTGGGGCTGTCGCTGGGCAACACGGACTTTCAACTCCCTCCAAAGATTTTCTATGGGGTTGAGATCTGGAGACTGGCTAGGCCACTCCAGGACCTTGAAATGCTTCTTACGAAGCCACTCCTTCGTTGCCCGGGCGGTGTGTTTGGGATCATTGTCATGCTGAAAGACCCAGCCACGTTTCATCTTCAATGCCTTTGCTGATGGAAGGAGGTTTTCACTCAAAATCTCACGATACATTGCCCCATTCATTCTTTCCTTTACACGTATCAGTCGTCCTGGTCCCTTTGCAGAAAAACAGCCCCAAAGCATGATGTTTCCACCCCCATGCTTCACAGTAGGTATGGTGTTCTTTGGATGCAACTCAGCATTCTTTGTCCTCCAAACACGACGAGTTGAGTTTTGACCAAAAAGTTCTATTTTGGTTTCATCTGACCATATGACATTCTCCCAATCCTCTTCTGGATCATCCAAATGCACTCTAGCAAACTTCAGACGGGCCTGGACATGTACTGACTTAAGCAGGGGGACACGTCTGGCACTGCAGGATTTGAGTCCCTGGCGGCGTAGTGTGTTACTGATGGTAGGCTTTGTTACTTTGGTCCCAGCTCTCTGCAGGTCATTCACTAGGTCCTCCCGTGTGGTTCTGGGATTTTTGCTCACCGTTCTTGTGATCATTTTGACCCCACAGGGTGAGATCTTGCGTGGAGCCCCAGATCGAGGGAGATTATCAGTGGTCTTGTATGTCTTCCATTTCCTAATAATTGCTCCCACAGTTGATTTCTTCAAACCAAGCTGCTTACCTATTGCAGATTCAGTCTTCCCAGCCTGGTGCAGGTCTACAATTTTGTTTCTGGTGTCCTTTGACATCTCTTTGGTCTTGGCCATAGTGGAGTTTGGAGTGTGACTGTTTGAGGTTGTAGACAGGTGTCTTTTATACTGATAACAAGTTCAAACAGGTGCCATTAATACAGGTAACGAGTGGAGGACAGAGGAGCCTCTTAAAGAAGAAGTTACAGGTCTGTGAGAGCCAAAAATCTTGCTTGTTTGTAGGTGACCAAATACTTATTTTCCACCATAATTTGCAAATAAATTCATAAAAAATCCTACAATGTGATTTTCTGGATTTCTTTTTCTCAATTTGTCTGTCATAGTTGACGTGTACCTATGATGAAAATTACAGGCCTCTCTCATCTTTTTAAGTGGGAGAACTTGCACAATTGGTGGCTGACTAAATACTTTTTTCCCCCACTGTATCTATGTTAGAAATTTGGATCAAATGTAGGCCTATGTAATTACATTGTAAGGACGTAAGGATACAGATGTATTTAAACTCTAAATAGTCATCTACCCAGAAAAGTGAACATGCATTGATAATAACCAATGATAGGTGGTGACATCAACCATTTATGAGCATGTAGTGCCTTTTGCTTCCAAAAAAACAGAAGAAGGTTGTCTCCCACAATGCTTTGGTTCCAATTGAAAGTCGGACACTAACCAGGTTTCCATCCAACCTTTTTATGCGAGTAAAGTGCATGTCGGATAAAAAATGTAATGACTGGCCTGATGGAAACAGAAAGTTTGTCTGTAAACTTTACAAATGTCGACACAACAAAATATGCTAGACAAGGTGGGATCTTTTTGTGCCTGTAAAATTAATTACGCAAGAAATGTCAGTGGAAACGCTTTTATGCGCAAATATTGATACAGTATAAAAACCATCATATCGAAGTAAATTTGGAGTCACGCGATGACATGTTGTGTGGTCCTCCCACTTTGACTTGTCAAGAAAGCATGCAGTTTATTAGCCTATAGATGAAATAAGTTATGATGAACTTCACAGGGTATTGAAAGTGCAAGGTGATGAGCTTGATGCTCCTTTCTAACAAATATTGAAGATCTTATTCTGTTGACATGATCATTGATGCTTTGCTGCCGTTTGACAAATACAAATAATCTCTCTCTTTTGTCCATAACAATCTCATTATGTAGGCTATACCCACACTGTATTTGCAAGCTGTTGGCTAGAGCACAAGTCCCAATACCAGAGTGGGAACACTTGCTATTACTCCAAGATGTACACTTAAGGAGCCTACCGTTACTCCTTAAGGACTTTATACTGTATGTTATTTTCAGAGGTAGACTGGCTCAGGCAGCCAAAACAGCCAAATACTCCATCTAAATGTGAATCGATTCTTAATTGCGATACAGTTCTAGAAACATAAAGCCCTTTACTTTCATGTCACATCAAAATAATGTCACAAATGCAAAATACACACTTACTGAACATTATTTTAACCGGCTTTATCCCAATTGCAGCCAACAGTATATGTTTCTGGTAGCCTTCTTCCGTTAAACACAGGTAGCTAGATAGCTATTTAGCACAGGTGGTCCCTCTGTCTTCCGTCTGTCTTCTGTAAACACACACTGTAACATGGAGATATGGCCGTGTGTGAACACTAACCATAGCAAAATTACTATGATCAACACAGAGGCAGAACGAGAATTTCAAGCCAAAGAAAATAAAATAGAGAATACAGAAGCAATCTTAAGTGATGCTTAGCTTCTGTATTGTCTGCAGACCTCAACAGGCAATGATTAACACTGTTCATGGACACAGAACCTTAGCCTATATTTCTCAAAGTCCAGTAAAACCCCATTTACTAATTCACTGTACAGAAGGTGCCGTCTGTCACGACTTCCGCCGAGGCTGCCTCCCCTCCTTGTTCGGGCAGGTTTCGGCATTCGTCGTCACCGGCTTACTAGCTACTGCCGATCCCATTCTCATCACTCCCCTTGTCATGTCTTGTCTTGTCAATCACACACACCTGGTGCTCATTCCCCTAATTAGTATGTGTATAAGTGCTCCCTCTGTTCCCCTTTGTGAGTGATTGTTTCATTGTGAGAGCGAGTAGCTCGGTTGAGCTACTCTCCCATTAGTTATTGCCAAGGTGGAATATTTCCCTTGTGATAGTTTCGTTTTGACGCTTGGTGCGTTTTATTTATGTAAACGGAATAAACTCTGGACTTCTGTGTTTTACCTGACTCCTTCATCCACACCTCATCACACCGTCAGGCAACTGTCAAGAAAGCCCTTATCAGTAACATCTTGTAGTGTCAGCATGGTCAACAAACGCTCCCACACACTCAATATCCTATCAAGCAAAAAATGAAAGCCTATACAAGAAGGGTTGGGGCGAATTCCATTTATTGACCCCAACCCTGACTACACTCAAGCTTCCCCTAGGTACAGATCTAGGATCAGCTTCCCCTCCCCTCCCACAATCCTAACCTTAATCATTAGTGGGGGAAATAAGTCGCTCTGGATAAGAGCGTCTGCTAAATGACTTAAATGTAAATACAAAACTTCACCCTACACCCCTAACTACAACTGCAACAAACATTCCCCTCCAACCACCAAGTAGTAATAAGAGAATTAGCGCCCCCTGTTGGCTGGTCAGACACAGTGTCGCTCCTGCTGCTCATGACAGTCAGGGGTAAAAACCAGGATATGGGAAATTGAATGCCAAGGGAACATGATTTTCAATTTTACTCCTCATATCCTGGGTGACCCAGTTCCCAGTCATTGTCTGCCTGAAGGCTGTAGAGTGAAATAGTCCAAATGGCGCCCTATTCCCTTTATAGTGCAACACCTTTGACCTACCTATATAGGGAGGGAATGGGGTGTCATTTGGGATGCACACACAGCAGCAGTAACATTCAGTAGGACCACAGCTCCTACATGCAACCCAGTCACATGCAACCCACTCACTGCCTTCCCTGAGGGCTGTAGAATAAAATTGCCATAGTTCCAGTAGCCACAGCAACACCACAGTTCTTACACCTCAGTTGGCTTAAGGCTGGCTGATTTCTGGGTCACCTACTACAGTCAGCAATAGTACTTAATGATGACGCAGAGGAGAAGGAGAAGGGCCAAGAGAGGACTGTGCTGCTGACCTACTAGATAAGGTCCAGTCAGTCTTCTATAGCTAATCAGGGTCGTAGGGTTTCTATGGTTGCAATGACCTCCCCATACTAGTACTAACCAACCACGTTATCCCCATGACAATGCTATTCTCTGCCTTTGTTCCTATCCTTGTTACCCTGATATTACTATTCTCTTCAATGTACATTACTTTCCTTTACGTTACAATGTGATTATGTACTTCCAGATTTCTCCACTGATCCACTCTGTGTTGTTTGTCCCAGGCTAATACAGGAATAGTTGGAGTTGGAGACAGATGTCAGCCTGTGTGCAGTGGGCTCCATTCCCAGCTCCTTTCCCAGCTCCATCCCCAGCACACTCCAGGTCCACAGGGCTGTTCTCCTGGCCAGGGCCCCACACATACGGAGGGGTGGTGCTCCCCATCCAGATAAACAACTATGACAGCACAGAGCTGAAGGAGTTTATACGGTATAATCAGAATGCATGTTATTGTCTTTATGACTACTGTCCAGTCTTCCTTATGTGTGCTTTTAGTGGCAAGCTGTATATCACTCAAATAGGTCTACCTCAAAAACTAGGTTTTTATCCTCAATGGATTTTATCCTGGTTAAATAAAGGCTAACAAATAAATAAATAAATGGCACTACAGATGCATCAAATGTTGTTTAACCCAAGTCATTTAAGAGCGTGTTTCACTGTGGATTATCTGACTCTCTCTATAGATCCATCATCATGACTGTTAAACCGGTGCTTGGATTGTAGTTGGAGTACTGTTAAATCTCTGACAGATGGCGCCAAACTCATGTTCTTTCTCTGCATTACTGGATATTACAGTATTTTGTCATGCAGGCTTTCAATAGAACAGTGTAATCTGGTTATGAACAACAAAGGAATTGTGAGATTATGTGATCATGTTAGTGCTAATACCATCCATGTATAATATCAACATCAGGGTTGTATGACTCAGACCCAGTGGTACTCTCCATCAGGAATACTGTTGACTAGAGGTAGATCTGGCACCACCAGCAGCAGTATCAAATCAAATCAAAGTTTATTTGTCACATGCGCCAAATAGTCCGGGTGGCCATTTGATTAATATGGTCTATTGAGAGAGTACAACAGCCCTTTGATCTAATGTGTTAGCTGCTAGCTCATTAGCAGGGTTTTAATCAGGGCCTCAGAGCAGCAGCAGAGCAGTCCATATCCTGGTGTGACTTCTAGGGAGTTTTTCCAATGCATCTGCATTGCTTGCTCTTTGGACTTTTAGGCTGGGTATCTTTATAGCACTTTGTGACAATTGCTGATGTAAAAATAGCTTTATAAAATACAGTTGATTAGTTGATTGACTTGTTAGCCATGATGAATGGAATACTGTAGGCCAACAGGGGGGTGAAAAAGAATTTGCCCCCTTTCTAATATTCTCTACGTTTGCATATTTATTATACTTAATATTATCAGATCTTCAACCTAAACCTAATATAAGATAAAGGGAACCTGAGTGAACAAATAACACAACAATTACATACTTATTTCATTTATTTCATGAACAAAGTTATGCAACACCCAATGCCCCTGTGTGAAAAAGTAATTGCCTTCTTACACTCAATAACTGGTTGTGCCACCTTTAGCTGGAATGACTACAACCAAACACTTCCTGTAGTTGTTGATCAGTTGTTGATCAGGAATTTTGGCCCACTCTTCCATGCAGAACTGCTGTAACTCAGCGACATTTGTGGGTTTTCAAGCATGAACTGCTCGTTTCAAGTCCTGCCACTACAACTCAATTGGGATTAGGTCTGGACTTTGACTAGGCCATTCCAAAACTTCAAATTTGTTGCGATTTAGCCACTTAATGGTGTGTTTTGGATCATTGTCTTGCTGCATGAACCAGCTGTGCATCCGCTTCAGCTCACAGACGGATGGCCTGACATTCTCCTATAGAGTCGTCCAGGTCCTGATGCAGCAAAGCATCCCCAAACCATCACACTACCACCACCATGCTTTACCGTTGGTCTTTTTGGACGACATGGGTCCCATTATGCCTGGCGAAAACCAAACACTTATTCCACAGTAAGAACCTCATACCAACGGTCAAGCATGGTGGTGGTACTGTGATGGTTTGGTGATGCTTTGCTGCCTCAGGACCTGGACAACTTGCCATAATAGAGGGAACCATGAATTCTGCTCTGTATCAGAGAATTCTACAGGAGAATGTCAGACCATCCGTATGTGAGCTGAAGGTGAAGCACAGCTGGGTCATGCAGCAAGACAATGATCCAAAACACACAATCAAGTCTACATGAAAATGGCTAAAAAGCAACAAATTGGAAGTTTTGGAATGGCCTAGTCTAAATCCAGACCTAATCCCAATTGAGGTGTTGTGTCAGGACTTGAAACGAGCAGTTCATGCTTGAAAACTCACAAATGTCGCTGTGTTACAGCAGTTCTTCATGAAAGAGTGGGCCAGAATTCCTCCACAGCGATGTGAGAGACTGATCAACAACTACAGGAAGCGTTTGGTTGCAGTCAATTCATTCATTCTAAAGGTGGCACAACCAGTTATTGAGTGTAAGGGGGCAATTACCTTTTCACAAGGGGAATTGGGTGTTGCATAACTTTGTTAATAAATACATGAAATAAGAATACATTTTTTGTTATTTGTAAACTTAGGATCCCTTTATCTAATTTGTTTTGGTTGAAGATCTGATAGGATTCAGTGTCAAAAATGTGCAAATGTAGAGAAAATCAGAAAGTGGGCATACTTTTTCATGGCACTGTATACAGTGGGGAAAAAAAGTATTTAGTCAGCCACCAATTGTGCAAGTTCTCCCACTTAAAGAGATGAGAGAGGCCTGTAATTTTCATCATAGGTACACGTCAACTATGACAGACAAATTGAGATTTTTTTTCTCCAGAAAATCACATTGTAGGATTTTTAATGAATTTATTTGCAAATTATGGTGGAAAATAAGTATTTGGTCACCTACAAACAAGCATGATTTCTGGCTCTCACAGACCTGTAACTTCTTCTTTAAGAGGCTCCTCTGTCCTCCACCCATTACCTGTATTAATGGCACCTGTTTGAACTTGTTATCAGTATAAAAGACACCTGTCCACAACCTCAAACAGTCACACTCCAAACTCCACTATGGCCAAGACCAAAGAGCTGTCAAAGGACACCAGAAACAAAATTGTAGACCTGCACCAGGCTGGGAAGACTGAATCTGCAATAGGTAAGCAGCTTGGTTTGAAGAAATCAACTGTGGGAGCAATTATTAGGAAATGGAAGACATACAAGACCACTGATAATCTCCCTCGATCTGGGGCTCCACGCAAGATCTCACCCGTGGGGTCAAAATGATCACAAGAACGGTGAGCAAAAATCCCAGAACCACACGGGGGGACCTAGTGAATGACCTGCAGAGAGCCGGGACCAAAGTAACAAAGCCTACTATCAGTAACACACTACGCCGCCAGGGACTCAAATCCTGCAGTGCCACAAAGAATGCTGAGTTGCATCCAAAGAACACCATACCTACTGTGAAGCATGGGGGTGGAAACATCATGCTTTGGGGCTGTTTTTCTGCAAAGGGACCAGGACGACTGATCTGTGTAAAGGAAAGAATGAATGGGGCCATGTATCGTGAGATTTTGAGTGAAAACCTCCTTCCATCAGCAAGGGCATTGAAGATGAAACGTGGCTGGGTCTTTCAGCATGACAATGATCCCAAACACACCGCCCGGGCAACGAAGGAGTGGCTTCGTAAGAAGCATTTCAAGGTCCTGGAGTGGCCTAGCCAGTCTCCAGATCTCAACCCCATAGAAAATCTTTGGAGGGAGTTGAAAGTCTGTGTTGCCCAGCGACAGCCCCAAAACATCACTGCTCTAGAGGAGATCTGCATGGAGGAATGGGCCAAAATACCAGCAACAGTGTGTGAAAACCTTGTGAAGACTTACAGAAAACGTTTGACCTGTGTCATTGCCAACAAAGGGTATATAACAAAGTATTGAGAAACTTTTGTTATTGACCAAATACTTATTTTCCACCATAATTTGCAAATAAATTCATTAAAATTCTCATTTTCTCATTTTGTCTGTCATAGTTGACGTGTACCTATGATGAAAATTACAGGCCTCTCTCATCTTTTTAAGTGGGAGAACTTGCACAATTGGTGGCTGACTAAATACTTTTTTCCCCCACTGTACATGCATAAAAGCTCCTGTATTTTAAAGGACACGTCATTGTTAATTAACCACATATTACACTTAACTGTAAGTTAAGTCGCTCTGGATAAGAGCATCTGCTAAAATGACTAAAAAATAAATAATAATAATAATATTTGTTATGTTCATAACCATACCAAAGTGCATGCATGTGAGTGTTGCTTACTGTTAGACATGTTCTCCTTTAACTTATGTGCGTACCTGTCCCACAATATCCATGCAAAGATGTGCATTAACCAGCAAGATGCATCTGTAGCAAGATGCATGTCCTCGGCGTACACATCACTGACAAACTGAAATGGTCCACCCACACAGACAGTGTGTTGAAGATGGCGCAACAGCACCTCTTCAACCTCAGGAGGCTGAAGAAATTTGGCTTGGCACCTAAAACCCTCGCAAACTTTTACAGATGCACAATTGAGAGCATCCTGTCGGGCTGTATCACCGCCTGGTACGGCAACTGCACCGCCTGCAACCGCAGGGCTCTCCAGAGGGTGGTGCGGTCTGCTCAACGCATTACCGGGGGAAGGCCAAAAAGATTATCAAGGACAACAACCACCCGAGCCACTGCCTGTTCACCCCGCTATCATCCAGAAGGCAAGGTCATTACAGGTGCATCAAAGCTGGGACCGAGAGACTGAAAAACAGCTTCTATCTCAAGGCCATCAGACTGTTAAATAGCCTTCACTAGCACATTAGAGGCTGCTGCCTATACACATACATGTAGATTAGAAATCACTGGCCACTTTAATAAATGGAATACTAGTCACTTTAATAATGTTTACATATCTTGCATTACTCATCTAATATGTATATACTGTATTCTATACTATTCTACTGTATCTTAGTCTATGCCGCTCTGACATTGCTCGTCCATATATTTATTTATATATTCTTAATTCCATTGCTTTACTTAGATTTGTGTGTATTGGGTGTATGTTATGAAATTGTTAGATATTACTTGTTAGATATTACTGCACTGTTGGAGCTAGAAACACAAGCATTTCGCTACACCCGCAATAACATCTGCTAAACAGGTGTATGTGATCAATAAAATTGGATTTGATTTGATTTGATAAAGGACGTTATGTTGCTTACCACGTCACGCTGAGTACCACGTCCTCCCGATTCTGCCCATACTTGGTGCGAACTCGGGACCTCTGCCTTTCTAGCACACGTGAACGCCCTCCTGAAATCTTACCAGTCGGCGCCACGCAAACAATGAGCTATTCGATAGCCCAACACTTCAGGCTGAGGAGTAAGGTACACACATCCCCATGTGCTACATACACATGTATGATTATTTAATCCATTTAAGATCGGTAATTTGAATTCGTCAGTAATTTAAACATGTCAGTTACTGCAAGTCGGTCTACTATGTTCAAATTAATTTAGGAGTCTGAATTAATCCACTACAGTGCCTTGCAAATGTATTCATCCCCCTTAGCGTTTTTCCTATTTTGTTGCATTACAACCTGTAATTTAAATGGATTTTTATTTGGATTCCATGTAATGGAAACACACAAAATAGTCCAAATTGGTGAAGTGAAATGAAAAAAATAACTTGTTTCAAAAAATTCTAAAAAATAAATAACGGAAAAGTGGTGTGTGCATATGTATTCACCCCCTTTGCTATGAAGCCCCTAAATAAGATCTGGTGCAACCTTCAGAAGTCACATAATTAGTTAAATGAAGTCCACCTGTGTGCAATCTAAGTGGCACATGATCTGTCACATGATCTCAGTATATATACACCTGTTCTGAAAGGCCCCAGAGTCTGCAACACCACTAAGCAAGGGGCACCACCAAGCAAGCGGCACCATGAAGACCAAGGAGCTCTCCAAACAGGTCAGGGACAAAGTTGTGGAGAAGTACAGATCAGGGTCGGGTTATAAAACAATTTCTGAAACTTTGAACATCCCATGGAGCACCATTAAATCCATTATTAAAAAATGTAAAGAATATGGCACCACAACAAACCTGCCAAGAGAGGGCCGGCCACCAAAGCTCACGGACCAGGCAAGGAGGGCATTAATCAGAGAGGCAACAAAGAGAACAAAGATAACCCTGATGGAGCTGCAAAGCTCCACAGCGGAGATTGGAGTATCTGTCCATAGGACCACTTTAAGCCATACACTCCACAGAGCTGAGCTTTACGGAAGAGTGGCCAGAAAAAAGCCATTGCTTAAAGAAAAAAATAAGCAAACACGTTTGATGTTTGCCAAAAGCCATGTGGGAGACTCACCAAACATATGGAAGAAGGTACTCTGGTCAGATGAGACTAAAATTGAGCTTTTGGGCCATCAAGGAAAACACTATGTCTGGCGCAAATCCAACACCTCTCATCACCCTGAGAACACCATCCCCAATGTGAAGCATGGTGATGGCATGCACGCTCAAGTTTTCTGTTTTTTTGTCTTATTTCTTGTTTGTTTCACAATAAAAAATATTTTGCATCTTCAAAGTGGTAGCCATGTTGTGTAGATCAAATGATACAACCCCCCCAAAAAATCAATTTTAATTCCAGGTTGTAAGGCAACAAAATAGGAAAAATGCCAAGGGGGGTGAATACTTTCACAAGCCACTGTACAGAACCTCCCATGTTACTGTTATCATCATTCATTTATAAAAGGTAAGCTGTACTCAATCCCAGTCCTCAAGGCCAGAGTTTTTCACCAAGCTATTACACTGTGGTGAGGTCACTCAGTGGTGCAGAGGTAGGCTACATAGTAGTAGCTGGCCTGTAACCATGGAGACAGGTTTCTCCCTCCCTGCCTCCTTGCCTGTGCTCAGGGGATCTACCCAGCCAGCCAGTCAGTCAGCCAGCCAGCCAGCAAAATGCAGCCCCTCTCCTTTCCTCCGTCAGATGAAAGTGGGGCAAGCCTTTTTTGGTGTTACTGCAGCATAGAACCATGCTGTGAGAGCCTTGACTGCAGACCAGTACTGTTGAATCTGATCAGTATGGTATCCCAGTGGTGCCTGCCTGCCTGCCTCTCCTCTCTCTCGCTCCCCTCTTCTATCTACACCACTCTACTGGGACTGAGCTGTGTGATCACTTTCATCACTCCATCATTCATCCCTCTATCCCCACCTCCCTCTGCGGGGGGAAGAGAAGAGATATATAGACTGACTGAGTGACACACATCTCTGCTGAGGGAAGAGATATTCCCCTCTTCATGCAGACTGACACACACACACACACACACACACACACACACACACACACACACACACACACACACCCTGCTGAGGGAAGAAAATAGATATTCCCCCTCTCACGGAGACTGACTGACATTCCCAATCTGGAGCCTTTCATTTTCAGCAGCAGAGATAGACTCCTACAGCTCATTGTATGGAGCAGGCTGAGTCACTCTTCTACTAGACACACAGGAGGACATGTTTCATACAGTAAGCTGACAGTACTACCAAAGTACCTTAGTGTGGAGTACACTACTGCACGATCATGATCACGTTATGTGAAACGTCTTTAGTGTCTCCCAATAACACAAGTGTGGCCAATGTTCTTAATATTGTCTGCCATTTAGCAGACGCTTTTATCCAAAGCGACTTAGTCATGTGTGCATACATTTTCGTAAGGGTGGCCCCAGTGGGATAGCAGCCAGTGTTTAAGTAATAGTGACAGTAATCACTGAGGATTGAAGTATACATGTGTTACAATAGCATGGAGTCATTCACAGTTCCTTCTTTGAACAGCCTTTTCTACTGTAGTTTCTCTCCGGTCACGTTGTCGATTTCTGTTTCCATAATAAGCTCTGCTACAGAAGAGGTCCCCCTCCTGAAGTGTAGCTAAATGATCACTCTGAGAGAATAAAAACACACTCCAAGTACATGGAATCACAGTATGGCAATTAGTGGGTTGAACAAAGACTATACTATGTATAGTATGTGGGTGCGTGAAAGACAGTGAAAAACAGAGGGGGCTGTGAGTGGGGAGAGAGGGGGGCCCCTCGGCCATGACAAGATAAGCTGGTGAATAATCGTGGCTGTAGATCTGTGGATCCCTTCTGATGTTTGTCACTGAGCTGTCACGATGCTAGTGATGATCAGAAGGTCATATTAGACACATGCACTGTGGTGCAGGGTCATATATGTGCGTCTCAGTGGCAGTTGAGCATCATCTTGGTAAAAACATGGTCTTCGGTTCAGAGGCTGCTGCAGAATGATTCTTTGATGTCCACTCACTTGTCAGTTGGTGTGACTTCATGTCAAAACAGATCCGTCACTTTTCTGAAGCTCTGTGTGCCAGACATACCATGTGTCCCCTGCAGGGTTAGTGACACCATCACCACACACACAGGCCACACAGCTGAGGGGTGAAATTTTTATATGGTGGGTGGAGGAAATTACGTGTGTGTGTCTGTGTTTGTGTGTGTGAGTGTTTGTATGCGTTTCCAGGGCGATCCTGTGTGCACGGTCTCAGTATTTCCGAGCCGTGCTGTGTGAGAGTTGGATGGAGATCTCCAGGTTCTGGCCAAGGTTAGGCCGCAGCCCTCAGTCCTCCTCCTTCTGTAATTTCTGCTGTAACGTCTGTAATGTTTATGTGTGTCCCAAATATCACCCTATTCCCTATATAGTGCACTACTTTTGACCAGAGCCCTATGGGGTAGGGAAAAGGGTGCCATTTGAGACTCAGCCTACACCTCGATTACGATAAGAAGGCTCATTGTCTCCCAACAACAGTCTGCTGCCTGATGCCTATACTATACTGCATTAATAATTCATACTGTGGGTGCTGAAAATATATCAGGACACAGAGCTGGCTCTGTATGGGGTTTCACACACACACACACACACACACACACACACACACACATACACACACACACACACACACACACACACACACACACACACACACACACACACACACACACACAAACACACTCACACAATGCCAACTACAGTCAGGCAGTGTCATTTCCTGATTCCATTCACTCAGATCTCCACACTGCGAGCAAGGTCATCTACTGTAGTTAAGTCCTCTCTACCATTCTTCTGATGGGAAGATCCCCCCCACAACCCCTTGCTGTCAGAGCAGTGTGGCAGCAGAGACAAACGAGGCACCCCTATCTCCTCAGGGGAGAGTAATGTCACTAGTCTTTGTGGCTGGCTGATCTGAGAGTAACCGGGGACGACACACTCTGTCACCACAGAGGACTCTGGGAAAAATTCCCAATAGGACTGAGTCACAATGTTCTAGTGCTGCTCTTCGCTTAGACTTGCAAAAATATAATGTGGCTCAATAAATAGATATGTTTACATACTGTACGTTTTATTGAACAATTATTTATAGTTCAGTCTCATTAACATAACATCTATTTTGCAAGAGTTTACAGCTTGAATAAAAAGCCTACAGCCAATACAGCACCCCAGGACTTAGATTAGAGGGTATATTTGAAGTGGCATTATGGTTCTACATTGCCTAGAGAGGTAACTACGGTGTTTGTTGTGTTATTTTCAGTTTGGGTCCAGATGAGATGGAGATTATCCTACAGTTCATGTAGGCTGCCTCCCAGAGCCAGTGCCAGGTACATGCCTTATATAAATATATAATATAAAATAATCTTACCTTATTAATCCATCAGAAAGAAAGATTAATATCTGCAACTAGAAAAGGTCAACTTCCTGACTTAAGTGTGTTTGCTTGCTTGAAGTATTTTTATAGTAGTGGAAGTGGAATTCTACAGTACCTAGGGCTTAATGGTGAATCTATATCACCAGAACCACAACACTACACCTGTCCCTCTCTCCCAGTTAGAACCACAACACTACACCTGTCCCTCTCTCTCAGAACCACAACACTACACCTGTCCCTCTCTCCCAGTTAGAACCACAACACTACACCTGTCCCTCTCTCCCAGTTAGAACCACAACAGAACCTCACCTGGCTCTCTCCTCTCCCAGTCAGAACCACAACCTCACCCAGCCCTCTCTCCTAGTCAGAACCACAACCCAACCTCACAAGCCCCTTCTCCCAGTCAGAATCACAACCCAACCTCACCCAGACCTCTCTCCTAGTCAGAACCACAACCCAACCTCACCTCTCTCCCAGTCAGAACCACAACCCAACCTCACCCAGCCCTCTCTCCCAGTCAGAACCACAACCAAACCTCATCCAGCCCTCTCTACCAGTCAGAACCACAACCCAACCTCACCCAGCCCTCTCTCCCAGTCAGAACCACAACCCAACCTCACCCGGCCCTCTCTCCTCTACCAGTCCTAACAGCAGCACCATCTCACCCGGCCCTCTCCCCTCTCTCCTCTCTCTTTTCTCCCAGTCAGGTGCTGTTAGCAGCAGACATGTTGAGTCTGGAGGGACTGAAGGACATGGTTGAGATGGTTTTGACCAGAGACTACTGCCGCTTCTTCCCCAAGGTAGGTTAGCTAAGGTTACTGAATATGAGGGAAAACTTCTGACATGTACAGTATGTTTGGCAGGCCGGGTGGATAGATTTGACTGGCTTGCTCAGTTTTATGGGTCAATGCTACATTACACACACACACATACACAAACACACACACCACACACACACAAAATAACATTTTTTTCTTTGTATTTTTATATGGCTCTCTTGTGGAGTGTTTTAGGTTTCCTAACATTGCAATGCTTCTCTGATCTGCCCTAGCTCCCGAGTGGCGCAGCGGTCTAAGGCACTGTATCTCAGTGCTTGAGGCGTCACTACAGACCCCCTGGTTCGATTCCAGGCTTTATCACAACCGGCTGTGATTGGGAGTCCCATAGGGCGGCGCACAATTGGCACAGTGTCGTCTGGGTTTGGCCGGTGTAGGCCGTCATTGTAAATAAGAATTTGTTCTTTACTGACTTGCCTGGTAAAATAAAATAAATAAATAGCTTGCTCCCAGATCTGTTTGTTCTCTCTTGCCAATTTCATAGGAGTTACCTATACAGCACAAACAGATCTGGGACCAGGCTCTATCAATCCTACATCTGCAGAGAGAGAGATCCCTGTAGTCTCAGACCAGTCTGTGTCAGGAGGAAAGCCATCTCCAAGAACAGATTTAGCTGCTCAACAGCTAAATCTGTGCTGTTTTGGTACGCTGCCTGCCTGTACTGTTTTGGTACCCTGCCTGCCTGTACTGTTTTGGTACCCTGCCTGCCTGTACTGTTTTGGTACCCTGCCTGCCTGTACTGTTTTGGTACCCTGCCTGCCTGTACTGTTTTGGTACCCTGCCTGCCTGTACTGTTTTGTACCTTGCAGGCATCCCTGCACCCATCCCTGTCCTGCTGTGTTTTCAGTTCTCTGAACAACCTCTGTTTCATCACTCCTACCTCATAATTTGCCTCTGATACAGCTGATATGGCGTGTTCTCTTCTGCCCCCTGTTCTGTTCTGCCCCCTGCGACAGGCAGTTTAGCTTTACGCTGCAGCAGGCGCAGAGAGAACTCTCTTTTTATCTCTTTTCACTTCTATTACAAAACAATATTCCTGTGACCAGTGTCGGACATATTACCCATCTGTGTGTCAACTGCAAACTGTATAAAACTGTTTTTGTAACCAGTTTATTAAGTATTTTATTCCAGATCCTTTACTTGCAAGTACCCTAGAATCCATGTCCAATTGAAAAGACGGCCTATCGGCCTCCCGAGTGGCGCAGCGGTCTAAGGCACTGCATCGCAGTGCTAGAGGCGTCACTACAGACCTGGGTTCGATCCCGGGCAGTATCACAACCGGCCGTGATCGGGAGTCCCATAGGGTGGCGCACAATTGTCGTCCGCGTTAGGGGAGGGTTTGGCCGGGGGGGGCTTTACTTGGATCATCACGCTCTAGCGACTCCTTGTGGCGGGCCGGGCGCCTGCAGGCTGACCTCGGTTGTCAGGTTAACAGTGTTTCCTCCGACACATTGGTGTGACTGGCTTCCGGGTTAAGTGGACGGGTGTTAAGAAGCGCAGTTTGGCGGGTCATGTTTCGGAGGACTCATGACTCGACCTCTGCCTCCTGAGCCCATTGGGGAGTTGCAGCAATGAGACAAGATCGAAATTGGCGAGAAACGGGGGTAAAATACAAAACAAAAATAGATGGCCTATCATTAAATGTCCTGTCGCTCATACATGTTTCTATAGTACGTTATATTTTAGTTAGGACTGTTTGGGATTTATTCTCAGTTTGACAGATCTTCATCACCAAGGTTGGGGTCATTCAGTAATTTGGTCAACTGAAATCCCAATTTAATGTAATTGACCCCAACCCTGTTTATCACCTTCAACATTCTACATATCATTGTATAAGAGGAGTGACTTCATCTGCGTCATCCAGAGTACAATAGATGTGAGGACGGAGGATTGTGTAAGTGTTACTCAACAGGACCAACATAAGGTCACCATGTTGCTCTATGTTATTCCCTATGTTATGGAGGTCACTAGCTATAATAGCTGTCCAAAGAATCGAACTAAAATGGTATTAAAATAAGTCACCACCTCCATGGGCACTGTGTAAATTATGATGGCCTTGTTAGTGTTTCAGTCTGGTCATTCAGGGCTAACTCTAACTTCACCATCTGTGTGTGGATTTCATCTGGCAGAAAAATACACACAACAAAACAACTAAAACCCCAATGGGAAGTTTGCATGACAACATACCTTTTTAATCATCCTTTAGTCTTGGTACAGTATGCTTTCAGATGAGCTGCTGTGTCAGATGTCAGACAGACAGAACCAGGTTCATTTTGCCCATTGTTTGAAGCAGGAGTCAGTTGGAGTGCTAATTGTGAGAATTAACTGAACAGATCAATAATTTGCAGCTCAGCAGAGGCTTTTTCCTTGTGGGACTTCCACAGCCTCTTCACGTTTAATCGATATCCATTCATTCACTACTCCTGACACTTCAGCATGGTCATTAAAAGTGTTGTTTTTGTTGTTGTTGTTGTTGTTGTTGTTGTTGTTGTTGAGGACTATGCCACCTGAGGTTATGCTTTCCTTTCCTTCTTCCTTACCACAAATTGCCTTAAGCAGAGATTTATATTTCATGACGAGATGCTCATGTCTCCACCCTAACAATGGGAGTCGTTGTCCTAAAGGCGGGAAGGCAGGCGACAAGCTTAGGTTGCATATTAAGCCCATAGAAAAGCATTGGGCTTACTTTGGACAGATTTTGGCGAGAGTGAAACCTCTCGCTTCGCCTCATTCTCGCTGCTTTAAATCACATTTCCCTTTACATCAGACCACCCCTACCTAGACCCACTTTCTGCCCACAAAGTAATTTTCTGGTCAGGATCGGATGGCAGACTGGCATTGCGGTAAACACACAGAGAACTGTGGGAATGTAGGTCAAAAGGATAGTATTTTTACAGTGAAAGCTGTGGTAAGCTGGTTGGTTGTGATCTTGTGGGTGCGTGGGCTGGGATGTGCTGCCTGCCTCCGCTCCGCTGTGGGCGAAGCGTTTGATGAGTCATGTGTGTGTGTGTGTGTGTGTGTGTGTGTGTGTGTGTGTGTGTGTGTGTGTGTGTGTGTGTGTGTGTGTGTGTGTGTGTGTGTGTGTGTGTGTGTGTGTGTGTGCGTGCGTGCATGCGTGCGTGCGTGTGCGTGTGCGTGCGTGTGTGTGGAGGCGCTGACATTCTCACCCCTCAGGAGCTAACCAACCATCTCTGGCCACTCTACACTGAAAATGGGACTAAGAATCCGAGTTAGCACATCATTCAGTTTCACTCCATTTCAGCGACAACACTGGATTTCATCACTTCTCTCAGTGCCACTGCCTTAACTAAAAGTTGTTGTACAGTCCTAGGATGAGTCTCAAATGGCACCCTGTTTCCTATAGTGCACTGCTATGGGACCTGGTCAAGGGGGGAAAAGTAAGGAACTTGTCTGTCGGCCCTGCATTAAAGACCATAATTGGTTAAAGAAAATTGTGATAAATAAAAAAGTATACCAGCTTCATTTAAGGACCAAAGGATTGACAGCCGACCCATATAGATTGCAAAATAGTTGGGAAGAGATTTTTGACGTACCGATTCCATGGCAAATGGTTTATGAACTGATACGCAAAACGACTCCGGATTCAAAACGTAGAATTGTTCAATTTAAATTATTATACAAAATTCTTGCTACCAATAGAATGTTATTTATATGGGGGATACAATCTTCCCAGCTCTGCAGATTTTGCTGCGAAGAGACAGAATCATTAGATCATTTGTTTTGGTTTTGTTTTGTCCATTTGTAGCTTGTTTTTGGTCACAGGTCAAGGAATGGCTGAAGGATTGCAATATTTACCTGGAGCTAACCCTGCAGATAGCATTACTGGGTGATCTGAAAAGTCATAGTCAATCGATCAATAATATAATAATACTTTTAGCAAAAATGTTTATTTTCAATTTACAATCTGTAGAAACAATGAGAATGGAAGGGTTCAGAACTTTTGTGAAACATCACAGTACAGTTCAAAAATATATAACAAATAGAAATCCAATATGGATGGTGTCAAGAGATAGATGTGAGGGGTTGAATGGAGCTGAAGGTTGGGACTAATAACAACAAGATAACTAATGTAAAACATACTGTGTCCATAATAAGTACAGTGAGGGAAAAAAGTATTTGATCCCCTGCTGATTTTGTACTGCTGATTTTGTACGTTTGCCCACTGACAAAGAAATGATCAGTCTATAATTTTAATGGTAGGTTTATTTGAACAGTGAGAGTCAGAATAACAACAAAAAAATCCAGAAAAACATATGTCAAAAATTTTATAAATTGATTTGCATTTTAATGAGGGAAATAAGTATTTGACCCCCTCTCAATCAGAAAGATTTCTGGCTCCCAGGTGTCTTTTATACAGGTAACGAGCTGAGATTAGGAGCACACTCTTAAAGGGAGTGCTTCTAATCTCAGCTTGTTACCTGTATAAAAGACACCTGTCCACAGAAGCAATCAATCAATCAGATTCCAAACTCTCCACCATGGCCAAGACCAAAGAGCTTTCCAAGGATGTCAGGGACAAGGTTGTAGACCTACACAAGGCTGGAATGGGCTACAAGACCATCGCCAAGCAGCTTGGTGAGAAGGTGACAACAGTCAGTGCGATTATTCGCAAATGGAAGAAACACAAAATAACTGTCAATCTCCCTCGGCCTGGGGCTCCACGCAAGAACTCACCTCGTGGAGTTGCAATGATCATGAGAACGGTGAGGAATCAGCCCAGAACTACACGGGAGGATCTTGTCAATGATCTCAAGGCAGCTGGGACCATAGTCACCAAGAAAACAATTGGTAACACACTACGCCGTGAAGGACTGAAATCCTGCAGCGCCCGCAAGGTCCCCCTGCTCAAGAAAGCACATATTCAGGCCCGTCTGAAGTTTGGCAATGAACATCTGAATGATTCAGAGGAGAACTGGGTGAAAGTGTTGTGGTCAGATGAGACCAAAATCGAGCTCTTTGGCATCAACTCAACTCGCCGTGTTTGGAGGAGGAGGAATGCTGCTTATGACCCCAAGAACACCATCCCCACTGTCAAACATGGAGGTGGAAACATTATGCTTTGGGGGTGTTTTTCAGCTAAGGGGACAGGACAACTTCAGCGCATCAAAGGGACGATGGACGGGGCCATGTACCGTCAAATCTTGGGTGAGAACCTCCTTCCCTCAGCCAGGGCATTGAAAGTGGGTCGTGGATGGGTATTCCAGCATGACAATGAACCAAAACACACGGCCAAGGCAACAAAGGAGTGGCTCAAGAAGAAGCACATTAAGGTCCTGGAGTGGCCTAGCCAGTCTCCAGACCTTAATCCCATAGAACATTTGTGGAGGGAGCTGAAGGTTCGAGTTGCCAAACGTCAGCCTCGAAACCTTAATGACTTGGAGAAGATCTGCAAAGAGGAGTGGGACAAAATCCCTCCTGAGATGTGTGCAAACCTGGTGGCCAACTACAAGAAACGTCTGACCTCTGTGATTGCCAACAAGGGTTTTGCCACCAAGTACTAAGTCATGTTTTGCAGAGGGTCAAATACTTATTTTCCTCATTAAAATGCAAATCAATTTATAACATTTTTTGACATGCGTTGTTTTCTGGATTTTTTAGTTGTTATTCTGTCTCTCACTATTCAAATAAACATACCATTAAAATTATAGACTGATCATTTCTTTGTCAGTGGGCAAACGTACAAAATCAGCAGGGGATCAAATACTTTTTTCCCTCACTGTATATAGGTTATAGGTTAAGAACTTTTGTGAAAGAGCACAGTTTGAAAGATATGGCATATAGAGGCAAGCCGGATGGACATCAGGAAAATGATCGGAGAGATTGAGGGTAGAGGAAGTTCAGGAGTAGGAGCAAACAAGATGGAACTATTGTAGAATTGACTGTGTCCATAAAATGTATATGGTATGTATAAGCTGGAAGTAGAGGCCTAAGCGTTGTTGTTCCATAGTTTACTCCAATTAGGGGAGGGGTGGTGGGGTTGGAAAGTAATAAAGGAAAATATATATTTTAAAAAAATGATATATATACACTCCTCAAAAAAATAAAGGGAACACTTAAACAACACAATGTAACTCCAAGTCAATCACACTTCTGTGAAATCAAACTGTCCACTTAGGAAGCAACACTGATTGACAATAAATGTCACATGCTGTTGTGCAAATGGAATTGACAACAGGTGGAAATTATAAGGAATTAGCAAGACACCCCCAATAAAGAAGTGGTTCTGCAGGTGGTGACCACTGACCACTTCTCAGTTCCTATGCTTCCTGGCTGATGTTTTGGTCACTTTTGAATGCTGGCGGTGCTTTCACTCTAGTGGTAGCATGAGACGGAGTCTACAACCCACACAAGTGGCTCAGGTAGTGCAGCTCATCCAGGATGGAACATCAATGCGAGCTGTGGCAAGAAGGTTTGCTGTGTCTGTCAGCGTAGTGTCCAGAGCTTGGAGGCGCTACCAGGAGACAGGCCAGTACATCAGGAGACGTGGAGGAGGCCGTAGGAGGGCAACAACCCAGTAGCAGGACCGCTACCTCCGCCTTTGTGCAAGGAGGAGCAGGAGGAGCACTGCCAGAGCCCTGCAAAATGACCTCCAGCAGGCCACAAATGTGCATGTGTCTGCTCAAACGGTCAGAAACAGACTCCATGAGGGTGGTATGAGGGCCCGACATCCACAGGTGGAGGTTGTGCTTACAGCCCAACACCGTGCAGGACGTTTGGCATTTGCCAGAGAACACCAAGATTGGCAAATTCGCCACTGGCGCCCTGTGCTCTTCACAGATGAAAGCAGGTTCACACTGAGCACGTGACAGACGTGACAGTGTCTGGAGACGCCGTGGAGAATGTTCTGCTGCCTGCAACATCCTCCAGCATGACCGGTTTGGCGGTGGGTCAGTCATGGTGTGGGGTGGCATTTCTTTGGGGGGCCTCCATGTGCTCACCAGAGGTAGCCTGACTGCCATTAGGTACCGAGATGAGATCCTCAGACCCCTTGTGAGACGATATGCTGGTGCGGTTGGCCCTGGGTTCCTCCTAATGCAAGACAATGCTAGACCTCATGTGGCTGGAGTGTGTCAGCAGTTCCTGCAAGAGGAAGGCATTGATGCTATGGACTGGCCAGCCCGTTCCCCAGACCTGAATTCAATTGAGCACATCTGGGACATCATGTCTCGTTCCATCCACCAACGCCACGTTGCACCACAGACTGTCCAGGAGTTGGCGGATACTTTAGTCCAGGTCTGGGAGGAGATCCCTCAGGAGACCTCATCAGGAGCATGCCCAGGCATTGTAGGGAGGTCATACAGGTACGTGGAGGCCACACACACTACTGAGCCTCATTTTGACTTGTTTTAAGGACATTACATCAAAGTTGGATCAGCCTGTAGTGTGGTTTTCCACTTTAATTTTGAGGGTGACTCCAAATCCAGACCTCCATGGGTTGATAAATTTGATTTCCATTGATAATTTTTGTGTGATTTTGTTGTCAGCACATTCAACTATGTAAACAAAAAAGTATTTAATAAGATTATTTCATTCATTTAGATCTAGGATGTGTTGTTTAAGTGTTCCCTTTATTTTTTTTTACAGTATGTATGTATGTATGTATGTATGTATGTATGTATGTATGTATGTATGTATGTATGTATGTATGTATGTATGTGTATGTATGTATGTATATATATATATATATATATATATATATATATACAGTGGGGCAAAAAAGTATTTAGTCAGCCACCAATTGTGCAAGTTCTCCCACTTAAAAAGATGAGAGAGGCCTGTAATTTTCATCATAGGTACACGTCAACTATAAAAGACAAAATGAGAAAAAAATTTCCAGAAAATCACATTATAGGATTTTTAATGAATTTATTTGCAAATTATGGTGGAAAATAAGTATTTGGTCAATAACAAAAGTTTTGTCAATACTTTGTTATATACCCTTTGTTGGCAATGACACAGGTCAAACGTTTTCTGTAAGTCTTCACAAGGTTTTCACACACTGTTGCTGGTATTTTGGCCCATTCCTCCATGCAGATCTCCTCTAGAGCAGTGATGTTTTGGGGCTGTCGCTGGGCAACACGGACTTTCAACTCCTTCCAAAGATTTTCTATGGGGTTGAGATCTGGAGACTGGCTAGGCCACTCCAGGACCTTGAAATGCTTCTTACGAAGCCACTCCTTCGTTGCCCGGGCGGTGTGTTTGGGATCATTGTCATGCTGAAAGACCCAGCCACGTTTCATCTTCAATGCCCTTGCTGATGGAAGGAGGTTTTCACTCAAAATCTCACGATACATGGCCCCATTCATTCTTTCCTTTACACGGATCAGTCGTCCTGGTCCCTTTGCAGAAAAACAGCCCCAAAGCATGATGTTTCCACCCCCATGCTTCACAGTAGGTATGGTGTTCTCTCAGCATTCTTTGTCCTCCAAACACGACGAGTTGAGTTTTTACCAAAAAGTTATATTTTGGTTTCATCTGACCATATGACATTCTCCCAATCCTCTTCTGGATCATCCAAATGCACTCTAGCAAACTTCAGACGGGCCTGGATATGTACTGGCTTAAGCAGGGGGACACGTCCTGCACTGCAGGATTTGAGTCCCTGGCGGCGTAGTGTGTTACTGATGGTAGGCTTTGTTACTTTGTTCCCAGCTCTCTGCAGGTCATTCACTAGGTCCCCCCGTGTGGTTCTGGGATTTTTGCTCACCGTTCTTGTGATCAATTTGACCCCACGGGGTGAGATCTTGCGTGGAGCCCCAGATCGAGGGAGATTATCAGTGGTCTTGTATGTCTTCCATTTCCTAATAATTGCTCCCACAGTTGATTTCTTCAAACCAAGCTGCTTACCTATTGCAGATTCAGTCTTCCCAGCCTGGTGCAGGTCTACAATTTTGTTTCTGGTGTCCTTTGACAGCTCTTTGGTCTTGGCCATAGTGGAGTTTGGAGTGTGACTGTTTGAGGTTGTGGACAGGTGTCTTTTATACTGATAACAAGTTCAAACAAGTGCCATTAATACAGGTAACGAGTGGAGGACAGAGGATCCTCTTAAAGAAGAAGTTACAGGTCTGTGAGAGCCAGAAATCTTGCTTGTTTGTAGGTGACCAAATACTTATTTTCCACCATAATTTGCAAATAAATTCATAAAAAATCCTACAATGTGATTTTCTGGATTTTTTTTCCTCAATTTGTCTGTCATAGTTGATGTGTACCTATGATGAAAATTACAGGCCTCTCTCATCTTTTTAAGTGGGAGAACTTGCACAATTGGTGGCTGACTAAATACTTTTTTTCCCCACTGTATATATATATATATATATATATATATATATATATATGTATACACTACCATTCAAAAGTTTGGACACACCTACTCATTTTTCTTTATTTTTACAATTTTCTACATTGTTGAATAATAGTGAAGACATCAAAACTATGAAATAACACATATGGAATCATGTAGTAACCAAAAAAGTGTTAAACTAATCAAAATATATTTTATATTTGAGATTCTTCAAAAAGCCACCCTTTGCCTTAATGACAGCTTTGCACACTCTTCACTATTATTCTACAATGTAGAACATTTTAAAAATAAAGAAAAACCCTTGAATGAGTAGGTGTGTCCAAACCTTTGACTGGTACTGTATATATATATATATATATTTGTGAAAAAATATATATGGGGGATTGGAAGTGATGCAGACAATTACATTGATGGAAGTTACAATCTATCTGCAATATTAAAGTAGATATACCCCCTAAAGAAAATGTTTAAAATCAAAGGGAATAGGGTGCTGTTTGAGACGCAGCCATACATTGCCTGCACAGGAGGTTGGTGGCACCTTAACTGGGGAGGACGGGCATGTGGTAATGGCTGGAGAGGAATGGGTGGAAAGGTATCAACAACATCAAACACATGGTTTCAATGTGTTTGATGCCATTACATTCTATCCGTTCCAGCCACTATTATGAGCCATCCTCCCCTCAGCAGCCTCCACTGATTGCCTGGGAAACTTGGGGCAGCAGGATTTGATATGTAATTGGGAGCTGTGCCACATCTTTTGAACACTTCTGGCTGCACTTCCTCTCTAGTACCAAGAGCAGGGCAGTGAGGTTAATGAATGTGACTGAGTCCCAAATGGCATCCTATTCCCTATATAGTGCACCATGGGCTAAGGTCAAAAGAAGTCCACTATAGGGAATAGTGCCATTTGGGACTCACCCAGACACACACACACACACACACAAACACACACACACACACACACACACACACACACACACACACACACACTGTGTCTTGTATAGAGTGTGGCAGCTCTCTCAGTGTGATGTCAGGCTGGATAAGTGATTATGGTCACAGACCTGACCATTAATCTCCTCAGACCTTAAAGAGACAGTAACGGTGCACGCTGAATCTCATCACACACAGTGGACAGTCACACTGAGCCTCATTAGCTAGTTAGTGGATGGTTACTGTATATCAATGGATTTGCTGTGCTAATCATCATGGAGTTTAATGAGTGCCTGGGCTTGGTCTTGTGATTAAGGCTGCTATCTACAGAACATGTACAATCCACAGCTGGCGTCCTCTGTGTCAAATATCTCCTTCGTTCATACCTGTCTCCATAAAAACGAGATAAAAAGGTGTTTAACAAGCAATAAGTGGGCAGCAGTGGAATGTGGAATGACAGACTCTAACTCTATCACTTGTTTGTACTGTATGTTTCAGGTGGGCTCAGCACTATGTGAAGAGCTGGTCAGAGAGAAACTTTGCCCTGTTGCCTTATGAGGTTCAGAGAGCGTCTAACTGCTGTGACTGGAGCCATGGTGGGTTACACACACACACACACACACACACACACACACACACACACACACACACACACACACACACCAACATCCTCAACTCATTTTCCATGTCAGTGCCTGACAGGAAGTCCCAACAGGAAGTAAATCCAAACATGATCAAATGAGCGGGTCATCTTTATTGAATAACAGTCCTTTATGGAAGGCGTGTTCAGGAGGGCAGTGTGGATACAGACAGATGTAGCAGGGTAATCAGGTCTGGTAATTGAGTGAGTGGCTGCATCCCAATTCTCTACCCTTCTCCTGAATTGTGTACTTGCACTCCACATCATGAATTTAAAAGCATTGGATTAGTAAAGCGTTGGCTGGAGGGAGTTTCCAACATTGTAAGTCCATGACAGGGAGTGTGCAAGGGCACACTTCGGGAATAGGGTAGAAAGTGGGACACATCCAGTGTCTTTCCCTCCTGCCCCCCTCAAGGAGGAGACAACTAGCTGAAGCTGGTTCTCCTCCAGGGCTGGGCTATGTGTGACTCCAGGGCTGCTCTCGAGCTGCCTCCCCTGGGTACACCACTCTGGAGCTCAGCCTACAAACATTACTGTTGGTGCTACTGTTCTGGAGCACATGGCTGCTGCCAAAATCTGTCCGTGCGCCATATAGCCTACAGGCCAATCACCAAATAATGCTTTTGGGAAAAGGCAGAAATAGTTAACGTCAATCCACCGAGGCAAAAAGGACATTGTCGAAGTTTATTAAATAAGACAAAAGCTGCGAAAGGACAGTTGAAAAAGAGAAGGGAGGGACAGAAAAGTAATGTTTGGGGAAAATTTGCTGAAATGGTAGACGATGACAGCAGTGCCGGCTTTGTCATGTGTGATGATTGTGAGGGGCTATACAAATTCCACAGTCACAAGATGGGACTTCAAATAGGCCTATGGCATGTCAAAGGAACTGTAGCCTACTGTTTAGATGGGTTAAATGGAAACTGAAAAATGGACACTGACTGTAGGTCTATAGCCTCTCACATAGCCTTAACATTAACTCCTGCAGAATTAAGCATTTCTTGCAGTAAATGATACACCAAATGTAGACAAAATCTGCACTTGGGAACAGGAGTGGAGAAATATGATTTCTTTCTTTCTGCATCTTAAGATGCTGTCAGCATCATAAAAGCTAATAGTATTTTAACCACATAAAATATGCATCGAAGCCGAACTGGAATCTTATCAGAAACATATTGGGTTTTCACAGCTTTCTATTTCCTTACAACCGGTCAAACTGATGTAATTTGGACATTTTTCACAGAAAATCTTTCCCGTTTTTTTTTTTTGCGTTATTCCGTTTTCTCCACAGTCCCTAAACGTCTTTGCTCCGCAAAAGAAGATGACATAGAAAACTTTACAGATGTCAACTAGAATTAAGCCTTCATTCTATCGATCTATTACATTATTTTGTTGAGCAAGGGTTTATTTAGTCTTCTAGGTCAACATACAGTGGGGAAAAAAAGTATTTAGTCAGCCACCAATTGTGCAAGTTCTCCCACTTAAAAAGATGAGAGAGGCCTGTAATTTTCATCATAGGTACACATCAACTATGACAGACAAATTGAGGAAAAAAAATCCAGAAAATCACATTGTAGGATTTTTTATGAATTTATTTGCAAATTATGGTGGAAAATAAGTATTTGGTCACCTACAAACAAGCAAGATTTCTGGCTCTCACAGACCTGTAACTTCTTCTTTAAGAGGATCCTCTGTCCTCCACTCGTTACCTGTATTAATGGCACTTGTTTGAACTTGTTATCAGTATAAAAGACACCTGTCCACAACCTCAAACAGTCACACTCCAAACTCCACTATGGCCAAGACCAAAGAGCTGTCAAAGGACACCAGAAACAAAATTGTAGACCTGCACCAGGCTGGGAAGACTGAATCTGCAATAGGTAAGCAGCTTGGTTTGAAGAAATCAACTGTGGGAGCAATTATTAGGAAATGGAAGACATACAAGACCACTGATAATCTCCCTCGATCTGGGGCTCCACGCAAGATCTCACCCCGTGGGGTCAAATTGATCACAAGAACGGTGAGCAAAAATCCCAGAACCACACGGGGGGACCTAGTGAATGACCTGCAGAGAGCTGGGAACAAAGTAACAAAGCCTACCATCAGTAACACACTACGCCGCCAGGGACTCAAATCCTGCAGTGCAGGACGTGTCCCCCTGCTTAAGCCAGTACATATCCAGGCCCGTCTGAAGTTTGCTAGAGTGCATTTGGATGATCCAGAAGAGGATTGGGAGAATGTCATATGGTCAGATGAAACCAAAATATAACTTTTTGGTAAAAACTCAACTCGTCGTGTTTGGAGGACAAAGAATGCTGAGAGAACACCATACCTACTGTGAAGCATGGGGGTGGAAACATCATGCTTTGGGGCTGTTTTTCTGCAAAGGGACCAGGACGACTGATCCGTGTAAAGGAAAGAATGAATGGGGCCATGTATCGTGAGATTTTGAGTGAAAACCTCCTTCCATCAGCAAGGGCATTGAAGATGAAACGTGGCTGGGTCTTTCAGCATGACAATGATCCCAAACACACCGCCCGGGCAACGAAGGAGTGGCTTCGTAAGAAGCATTTCAAGGTCCTGGAGTGGCCTAGCCAGTCTCCAGATCTCAACCCCATAGAAAATCTTTGGAAGGAGTTGAAAGTCCGTGTTGCCCAGCGACAGCCCCAAAACATCACTGCTCTAGAGGAGATCTGCATGGAGGAATGGGCCAAAATACCAGCAACAGTGTGTGAAAACCTTGTGAAGACTTACAGAAAACGTTTGACCTGTGTCATTGCCAACAAAGGGTATATAACAAAGTATTGACAAAACTTTTGTTATTGACCAAATACTTATTTTCCACCATAATTTGCAAATAAATTCATTAAAAATCCTATAATGTGATTTTCTGGAAATTTTTTTCTCATTTTGTCTTTCATAGTTGACGTGTACCTATGATGAAAATTACAGGCCTCTCTCATCTTTTTAAGTGGGAGAACTTGCACAATTGGTGGCTGACTAAATACTTTTTTGCCCCACTGTATAATGACAAAAGAGAAGCTGCATGTATCTAATTATAGATAAGTTGACTAACAAATAGCCTACCAAAATGTTGGAAATTATAAACAGAAACATATCTAAATCAGGCAACAACAAAAAATCCTGCACCCCCTGCGAAAAAAACGTTCTGCAGTCTTTGACTGTAGCCTATAGCGCATTTTCTATATTTGCGGGTTGTGGTTGGGTGCGGGCCTCAGATTTGAACTTTATCACATACAGTCGGGCGGGTGCGGATGGGTTATTAACAATTGCGGGCGGGTGCGCTACTAGTGTTGACTGATTGATAATAATTGTTGGTTGCAGCTGTTTTTAAAGTTTTGATATGACCTGTACGGTGTAAAAAGTGTTCTACTATGTAATATTTGTTGTTTGTAGCTGGGGGTTTCTCAGCCTCTGCCTCTGGCCAGTATTCACAAAGAGTCTCTGAGTATGAGTACTGATATAGAATAAGTTTAGCCTTCTATAGACCATAATGAAAAATGATATATGGAAAGGGAACCTTATCCTAGATCAGTACTCTGTGACGCTTTTGAATACAGGTGTACATGTGTGACAGGGGAGCCGGCCCTGTTGAAGAAGCTGTGTTCAGCCATAGGAGACGGGGTCATGGGGGTCAACTATTGTGACCTATTCACCGCTGTGGATCACCTGGCTGGAGAGAAGGACATGGAAGGAGAGACACCCCTGGAGGAGGAGGTTCAGAGGGAAGAGGAGGTGATAAAAAACTCCCTCCATCTCACATTAACTTGCTCACAGTCCCCCATACCAAAAGCAAGGCCTTTTAACAATACAGTTATTCACATTTTGCCTGTTTTATTACTTGATGAATTACTAAGTGTGATATGACAAGGGTTTTCTTTGTTCCATTTCATACGATAAATGGTGAAATGACACAGAAAACAGAAAGAGCTGTGAAGGGTGAACCTTAAAACATGCCCTGCTATCAGTGGAGGCTCCTCAGAGGAGGAAGGGGAGGACCATCCTCCTCAGTGAATTTCATACAAATAAAAATAGTAAAACATTAAAAAAGTTATCCGTTTTAGATAAAACTGTACTAAATATATTCACCTCACCAAATAATTGATGAAAACACACTGTTTTGCAGTGAAGGTCTACAGTAGCCTCAACAGCACTCTGTAGGGTAGCACCATGGTGTAGCCAGAGGACAGCTAACTTCCGTCCTCCTCTGGGTACATTGACTTCAATACAAAACCTAGGAGGTTCATGGTTCTCATCCCCTTCCATAGACTTACTCAGTAATTATGACAACTTCCGGAGGACGTCCTCCAACCTATCAGAGCTCTTGCAGCATGAACTGACATGTTGTCCACCTAATCAAAGGATCAGAGAATGACTCTGGTACTGAAAGCATAAGCTACAGCTAGCTAGCACTGCAGTGCATAAAATGTGGTGAGTAGTTGACTCAAAGAGAGAGAAAGACAATACAGTAGTTGAACAGTTTCTAACAAATTAATTTATTCCAAAATGAAGGAGAAGCAAAAGAGACAGAGAGAGAGAGCTAGTAATATTTTGTCTTTTTTTCCCACTTTCACTTTCACTTACTTAGCTAGCTAATGCAACTAGTTAGTTTAGCCTACTCAAACACCTGGCTCAAACAGAGGGATGCTATCTTAGCTAGCTGGCAACACTGGAACTCTTCCAAGTCAATGTAAGCTTTTGGTTTTAGTAATTTATTGCCACCGGGGCCCGCCGGTGTAACCGCTAAACTGCTTACTGACTGCATGATTGTAGCGTGTTTACTAACAAGCTAGTTCTGTTAGCTATGTTGACTAAGACGTTACTTTAGCTAATATGGTGACAGCGATGTAGGCTGGTGTGTAGCAGTTAGCGGTTATGTTATGAAGGTTTGACTTGGACATTTTTTCCACCTGGTCACAGACAGCTGATGTGTTGTGCGAAGGGAAAAGGTGAGAGGAGGAGAGCGCGTAGATGCGAAAAGGAATACAAAGAGCTATTTCTATATGGCTGCTATGAAAGTGAACTGTGTTTACGTGTGATCAGGGGTGTATTCATTTAGCCAATTCTGTTGAAAAACATTTCTTAAACGGAAGCAAACGGAACAAAACGGGAAAAAACATACCTGAATTTGTCCAATAGAAACTCTCGTTTGCAACTGTTGGACTAATGATTACACAGTAGATCAGATAGATGCAGGCAAGAGTGTGCAAGGTGGTATTGAATGTGTCACTGTCTGTCCATGTGTCACTGTCTGTCAACTCAACATTTCTCTCAACCTGTGCGCACCTACGTTGTAAACTTTCATTCATAGGCTAGGTCGTAGCAACCTCATGATGGGTATAGGGAAAATTTGAGTATCATGTAGTAGTCTAAATCTATCGATGTTACATTGAACTGGGTAAATGGAATATGAATGACAGTCATCCAAAATGCTGTAATAGAAATAAGGCCATGGTCATTAAAAAAAAGATTGTCCTCCCTCATCTTAAACGGCACCGACCCCCACTGCCTGCTATGCTCTCTGCCTCTCTCTTCCAACTCTCACACACACATTGGGTAAAAGGTAGTGATTCATACACTATATATATAAAAGTATGTGGACACCCCTTCAGATTAGTGGATTCGGCTATTTCAGCCACCCGTTGCTGATAGGTGTATAAAATCGAGCACAAAGCCATGCAATCTCCATAGATAAACATTGGCAGTAGAATGGCCTTACTGAAGAGCTCAGTGACTTTCAATGTGGTACCGTCATAGGATGCCACCTTTCCAACAAGTCAGTTCGTCAAATTTCTGCCCTGCTAGAGCTGCTCCGGTCAACTGTAATTGCTGTTATTGTGAAGTGGAAACGTCTAGGAGCAACAACAGCTCAGCCGCAAAGTGGTAGGTCACACCAGTTCACAGAACAAGACCACTGAGTGCTGAACCGCGTAATGCGTAAAAATCGTCTGTTCTCAGTTGCAACACTCACTGCCGAGTTCCAAACTGCCTCTGGAAGCAACGTCAGCACAATAAATGTTTGTTTGGATCTTCATGAAATGGGTTTCAATGGCCGAGCAGCCGCGCACAAGCCTAAGATCACCATGCGCAATGCCAAGCGTCGGCTGGAGTGGTGTAAAGCTCGCCTCCATTGGACTATGGAGCAGTGGAATTGCGTTCTCTGGAGTGATGAATCACGCTTCACCATCTGGCAATCCAACGGACGAATCTGGGTTTGGCGGATGCCAGGAGAACGCTACCTGCCCCAATGCATAGTGCCAACTGTAAAGTTTGGTGGAGGAGGATAATGGTCTGGGGCTGTTTTTCATGGTTTGGGCTAGGCCCCTTAGTTCCAGTGTTACTCGAGTCCTTCTGTTCACCCGACCTAGAATATCTAACAATCAAATGACGACCCGTATTATCTCCCAAGATAATTTTCTTTGGTTATAGTCACGGCCGTGTATATCCCCCCTCAAGCCGATACCACAACGGCCCTCAAAGAACTTCACTGGACCTTATGCAAACTGGAAACCACATATCCTGAGGCTGCTGTAGCCGGCGATTTTAACAAAGCAAATTTGAGGACTAGGCTGCCAAAGTTCTATCAACATATCGACTGTTGTACTCGCGCTGCTAAAATCCTAGACCATTGCTATTCAAACTTCCGGGATGGTTATAAGGCCCTCCCCCGCCCTCCTTTTGGCAAATCTGACCACGACTCCATTTTGCTTCTCCCTTCCTATAGGCAGAAACTCAAACAGGAAGTACCCGTGCTAAGGACTATTCAACGCTGGTCTGACCAATCGGAATCCACGCTTCAAGATTGTTTTGATCACGTGGACTGGGATATGTTCCGGGTAGCTTGCGAAAATAATTTAGACGAATACACTGAAACGGTGACTGAGTTTATCAGGAACTGTATAGGTGATGTTGTGCCCACTGTGACTATTAAAACCTACCCTAACCAGAAACCGTGGATAGATGGCAGTATTCACGCAAATCTGAAAGCGCGAACCCCCGCATTCAACCATGGCAAGGTGACTGGGAATATGATAGAATACAACACAGTGTAGCTACTCACTCGGCAAGGCAATTAAACTGGCAAAACATCTATATAGAGACAAAGTGGAGTTGCAATTCAACGGCTCAGACACGAGACGTATGTGGCAGGGTCTACAGACAACCACGGACTACAAAAAGAAAACCAGCCACATCGCCGACACCGACGTCTCGCTTCCAGACAAGCTAAACACCTTCGGCCGCTTTGAGTATAACACAGTGCCACTGACCAGGCCCACTACCAAGAACTGTGGCCTCTCCTTCTCCATGGCCGACGTGATTTAGACATTTAAGCATGTTAACCCCCGCAAGGCTGCCGGCCCAGACGGCATCCCTAGCCGCGTCCTCAGAGCATGCGCAGACCAGCTGGCTGGTGTGTTCATGGACATATTCAATCTCTCCCTTTCCCAATCTGCTGTTCCCACATGCTTCAAGAGGGCCACCATTGTTCCTGTACCCAAGAAAGCAAAGGTAACTGAACTATATGACTATCACCCTGTAGCACTCACCTCAGTCATCATGAAGTGCTTTGAGAGACTAGTCAAGGATCATATCACCTCTACTTTACCTGTCACCCTATACCCACTTCAATTTGCTTACCGCCCCAATAGATCCACAGACGATGCAATTGCCATCACACTGCACACTGCCCTATCCCATCTGGACAAGAGGAATACCTATGTAAGAATGCTGTTCATTGACTATAGCTCAGCATTCAACACCATAGTACCCTCCAAGCTCATCATTAAGCTCGAGGCCCTGAGTCTGAACCCCGCCCTGTGCAACTGGGTCCTGGACTTCCTGATGGGCCGCCCCCAGGTGGTGAAGGTAGGAAGCTTCAAGTTCCTTGGCGTACACATCACCGACAAACTGAAATGGTCCACCCACGCAGACAGTGTGGTGAAGAAGGCGCAACAGAGCCTCTTCAACCTCAGGAGGCTGAAGAAATGTGGCTTATCACCTAAAACCCTCACAAACTTTTACAGATGCACAATTGAGAGCATCCTGTTGGGCTGTATCACCGCCTGGTACGGCAACTGCACCGCCCACAAAGGGTGGTGCGGTCTGCCGAACGCATTACCGGGGGCAAACTACCCGCCCTCCAAGACACATACAGCACCCGATGTCACAGGAAGGCCAAAAAGATAATCAAGGACATGAACCACCCGAGCCACTGCCTGTTCACCCCGCTATCATCCAGAAGGTGAGGTCAGTACAGGTGCATCAAAGCTGGGACCGAGATAATGAAAAACAGCTTCTATCTCAAGGCCATCAGACTGTTAAATAGCCATCGCTAGCACATTAGAGGCTGCTGCCTATTGAAATCACTGGCCACTTTAAGAAATGGAACACTAGTCACCTTAATAATGTTTACATATCTTGCACTACTCATCTCATATGTATATACTGCATTCTATTCTATAATATTATTCTGTATCTTAGCCCATGCCGCTCTGTCATTGCTTGTCCATATACAGTGGGGAGAACAAGTATTTGATACACTGCCGATTTTGCAGGTTTTCCTACTTACAAAGCATGTAGAGGTCTGTAATTTTTATCATAGGTACACTTCAACTGTGAGAGACGGAATCTAAAACAAAATCCAGAAAATCACATTGTATGATTTTTAAATAATGAATTTGCATTTTATTGCATGACATAAGTATTTGATCACCTACTAACCAGTAAGAATTCCGGCTCTCACAGACCTGTTAGTTTTTCTTTAAGAAGCCCTCCTGTTCTCCACTCATTACCTGTATTAACTGCACCTGTTTGAACTTGTTACCTGTATAAAAGACACCTGTCCACACACTCAATCAAACATACTCCAACCTCTCCACAATGGCCAAGACCAGAGAGCTGTGTAAGGACATCAGTGATACATTTGTAGACCTGCACAAGGCTGGGATGGGCTACAGGACAATAGGCAAGCAGCTTGGTGAGAAGGCAACAACTGTTGGCGCAATTATTAGAAAATGGAAGAAGTTCAAGATGACGGTCAATCACCCTCGGTCTGGGGCTCCATGCAAGATCTCACCTCATGGGGCATCAGTGATCATGAGGAAGGTGAGGGATCATCCCAGAACTACACGGCAGGACCTGGTCAATGACCTGAAGAGAGCTGGGACCACAGTCTCAAAGAAAACCATTAGAAACACACTACGCCATCATGGATTAAAATCCTGCAGCGCACGCAAGGTCCCCCTGCTCAAGCCAGCGCATGTCCAGGCCCATCTGAAGTTTGCCAATGACCATCTGGATGATCCAGAGGAGGAATGGGAGAAGGTCATGTGGTCTGATGAGACAAAAATATAGCTTTTTGGTCTAAACTCCACTCGCCGTGTTTGGAGGAAGAAGAAGGATGAGTACAACCCCAAGAACACCATCCCAACCGTGAAGCATGGAGGTGGAAACATCATTCTTTGGGGATGCTTTTCTGCAAAGGGGACAGGACGACTGCACCGTATTGAGGGGAGGATGGATGGGGCCATGTATCGCGAGATCTTGGCCAACAACCTCCTTCCCTCAGTAAGAGCATTGAAGATGGGTCTTGGCTGGGTCTTCCAGCATGACAACGACCCGAATCACACAGCCAGGGCAACTAAGGAGTGGCTCCGTAAGAAGCATCTCAAGGTCCTGGAGTGGCCTAGCCAGTCTCCAGACCTGAACCCAATAGAAAATCTTTAGAGGGAGCTGAAAGTCCGTAATGCCCAGCAACAGCCCCGAAACCTGAAGGATCTGGAGAAGGTCTGTATGGAGGAGTGGGCCAAAATCCCTGCTGCAGTGTGTGCAAACCTGGTCAAGACCTACAGGAAACGTATGATCTCTGTAATTGCAAACAAAGGTTTCTGTACCAAATATTAAGTTCTGCTTTTCTGATGTATCAAATACTTATGTCATGCAATAAAATGCAAATTAATTACTTAAAAATCATACAATGTGATTTTCTGGATTTTTTTTTAGATTCCGTCTCTCACAGTTGAAGTGTACCTATGATAAAAATTACAGACCTCTACATGCTTTGTAAGTAGGAAAACCTGCAGAATCGGCAGTGTATCAAATACTTGTTCTCCCCACTGTATGTATATATTCTTAAATCCCATTCCTTACTTTTTTGTGTGTATTGGGTATATGTTGTGAAATTGTTAGATATTACTGCACTGTCGGAGCTAGAAGCACAAACATTTCGCTACACCCACTATAACATCTGTTAAACACGTGTATGTGACAAATACAATTTGATTTGATTTGATTTGAAGGGAAATCTTAACGCTACAGCACACAATGACATTCTAGACGATTCTGTGCTTCCAACTTTGTGGCAACAGTTTGGGGAAGGCCTTTTACAGTTTCAGCATGACAATGCCCCCGTGCACAAAGCAAGGGACATACAGAAATTGATTGTCGAGATTGGTGTGGGAGAACTTGACTGGCCTTCACAGAGCCCTGACCTCAACCCCATCGAACACCTTTGGGATGAATTGGAACGACGACTGCGAGCCAGGTGTAATCGCCCAACATCAGTGCTCGACCTCACTAATGCTCTTGTGGCTGAATGGAAGCAAGTCCCCACAGCAATGTTCCAACATCTAGTGGAAAGCCTTCCCAGAAGAGTGGAGGCTGTTATAGCAGCAAAGGGGGGACAAACTCCATATTAATGCCCATGATTTTGGAATGAGATGTTCGACGAGCAGGTGTCCACATACTTTTGGTCATGTAGTGTAGTTCCAGAGCCCCATTATGCCTATATAATTACTCCCAGGGGAGTGTGACACATCTGAAGGCTGCAGGCTGCAGACATCCTGGTTTGGTTAGAGCTGTATGGGCTGCAGGCAGGGTTAGGCTGTCTGGGTTAAGTCACACGTCCCTACAGGGAACATGGCAGGATGGATTAGAGAGAGAGAGAGCGAGAGAGAGAGAGAGAGAGAGAGAGAGAGAGAGAGAGAGAGAGAGAGCGAGAGAGAGAAAGCATGATGAGGCATGGGAGTGGCCTTCTCTAATCTGCCTCTGTGTTACTTGTGGCCAGTAGTCAGATGGGGTGAGATCCAGAGTGTGGGAGAGGAAGGGAGAGAGTGAGGACAGGAGGGAGGGTTTGTGTATGAAAGGGAGCTTCTCCCCACCCTCCAGCTCTGTTTTTTTTATAAACATTGAGGCGATGTGGAGGAGGCGGGAGCAGCCTCAGCTGATGACATCATCCATTTAGCTCAAGGGAGCTCAAGTGGATTCTGCAAGAGAGAGGGAGAGAGAGAGGGAGAGAGAGAGAGAGAGAGAGAGAGAGGGAGAGTGAGAGAGGGGAAGAGGGAGGAGGAGGGGTGGTTACCATGGTGATGGGTCCTTTTAAGCAGCTGCTGATTCGCTCGTGCTCTCTCTCTCTTTCCCCCTCCCTCTCCTCCTCCTCCTCTCTCCCTATCTCCTCTCCTCTCTCAACCAGCCGTTTAGGTGAGAGATTGGTGCTCTGCACGCTAGGCTGTGGACCTTCCTGCTCCAGTCATTCTACTCCGTCCGCCATACGCGGGGATGGGAGACCCTGCCCTCCAAGCACAGAGAGAGGATACTGGCAGGTAAGAGAAGGGAGGACATCTTTATTCTATGGGGCTTTAGCTGTAGTTTGGAGGTGATCTGATCTGTCTCTCACTGCAGAAGACAGCCAAAGCTCTGTTTCTCTAAGCTCAGATGGGATATTACAGATCTGTTCAACATGTTTGATCTTGCTTGGCATGACAATGACCATAGGAGATGGCAAGAGACAGCACAGACAGATCTGGGAGCAGGCTACAGTGATGAAGCACAGGCTCTGTCTCTGCATGATTAGAGAGGAAGGAACCAAAGCCCCTGAAGCATATGTTACTGCTGCTGCTGCCTCTGGGTAACATCAGACATTTAATGGCTGCTTTCAGCACAGTTGCAGAACAAAACAGAGCACAAACATACACGAACTGGAGATCCATCTGTTGTTTGGGCGAGGAGGAGGGTCAGTCAGTCTGTCACCCCATTTTCAGCCAATTTGTAGCTAGCGATTAGGCTAACATGCAAATACTACACCAGACTCAACATGTTCTATTCTGTATTGTAATAAAGGGGCGGGGTGGAGGGTTGAATTCCTCTCTCTTTGTGGATTTTACACATAATTATATGCATTCTCTGAGAAACAAATAATGCACTGATTTGTTTTGACTGTTTAGCTTTGTGATCCATTGAAATGCATGGCATTAATTATTTATTGAACTTGGTTTTAAAATTCCACTGACATTCCATACTGTTGAAATCTCCCCGTCACTAACATAGCTCACACGTACGCATGCACATACACACGACAAGGCACATAGAATTAATATACATAGTTGCATGCAGTAATGTAGTCACACACGCCACATCATACACACCCAACACAGACACACACACTCGACTACATTCCGGTGCAACGGTTTGGTCTTGATTTGGTGCATCTCTGGGGAAATGGAAGGATGTGCTGTGAAGTCTTTTCTTGCTTGGCAGTCACAATTGACTGACGTTTCATTGTTTAAATGAAAGCCTCTCCACATCAGGATTTTACGCATTGTTTCACCTTCTGTATCTCATTTAAATTAAAATCAGGAAGCCTTAGGTAGAATAGCCTCGTTGCAGTATCGGTCTCTTCAATGGACACGTCATGGATTTGATATTTCAGGGACATGTTGGTACAGTTCACATGGAAAATACCCATCATCAAACTGAATGCTCCTTTTGTTGAGAATGCAAGACAGAACCAGGTCAATGCGTCTCGAAAGATGTTTGTGGCTACCTGTTTTTTGTATGAGTACTGTGCCTTGAAGGTTTTTGAATGTGATGGTAATTTAACCATGTTTTAAATGTGTTGTTTTAAATTTAATTATGTGTTTGTCTCTCCTATAGCTGCTCTTGATAAAGGAGGCAGTAGAAGACTTGGGGAAAAGCCTGTATTCACCAGCTCACAGGTAATGCATGATAAAAGCGTATTTATTCTTTAATTTACTAGCTATTGTTTAATTACTCTCTTGTATTGTTAGAACTTAGTTGGGTGACATGTTCCCATCTATAACACAGAGAAACCTGTGTAATGATATTAGGATATGTGGCTATGATGCCTATTTAGTTGCATACACTGATTATACTAAGTGCTCAATGACTCAAATGTAAATGTAACGGTGTAATTATGATTTAGGAGGCTGACTTTTAAAAGCCTGTAATTACTACACACTGACACAGGGATGTGAATGGTGGAAACACTAGAGCGGGCCTCACACACACACACACACACACACACACACACACACACACACACACACACACACACACACACACACACACTGCTGCTGTTTCATTTTTTATTTTTTTATTTTTTAGTTATACATTTTTTACTTAACACTTATTTTTCTTAAAACTGCATTGTTGGTTAAGGGCTTGTAAGTAAGCATTTCACTGTAAGGTCTACACCTGTTGTATTCGGTGCATGTGACAAATACAATTTGAATTTGATTTGACACAAACACACACACACACACACACACACACACACTGATTCTGTTGCTGATGACTGTAGTTTCATCATTGACACAGAAAGCAATTACCTTTCAGCCCCTCAGAGTGATAAACACACAGACCTTGTGTCTTATCAGACTGATGAACAGTAACACAAGGCAGACAGAACCTGGAAGGATGTGGTGACGGCCGGGGTTGCTTTTGTTTTACAAACCTGAGTGTACAGTGCAGCTCAGTCACATGCAGGCATCCTCACCAGTATTATTCAATCCTATTGAATTAACATTTTATTTGAGTAATTTAGCAGACGCTCTCGATTAACTTACAATTAGTGCATTGATTCAACTAATGTATGTAAACCAACATATCATGAAAAACCTTCTTAGCCGCTATCTGCAAAATCAGTGCTAATCAGTTTCTATATCACAGGTTAGTTACAGGTAATTACAGCTTAGTTACAGGTAATTACAGGTTAGGTCGAACGTCCTTCATCCCAGTCTTTAGTTGTTAAATCAAGTCCATATGCTACTACTCAATTATACTAAATTATGTTGTGTGATTTGATATTTTCCATTCAAACCTCTCCCCCCTCTCTCTCTCTCTCTCTCTCTCTCTCTCTCTCTAGCAGCCGAGGGGTGTAAGATGCCCCTCAGGTCCTGCAGCTGCTTGTGAGAGCCCTCCTGTCCACAGGACCATTTGGGTAATCAGGAACACAGGAACAGGAAGTTGCACTGTGGCTGCATCATTAGCCACCATGAAGTCAGATGGGCTGGGGACGCCAGGCCTCACATCCACCGCAGGGACAGGGACTAATGCTACCAAGCCTGGAGACACTGACCCATTAAGGGCAAAGAACGTCAAGACCAAGCAGCCAGGTGACCACCGGAGCACCACGGCTAAAGCCAAGACTACAACTTCTGCATCAGCCAAACCAGTGCTCAACGGTACGGCTGGCCCAGGGAGGGCTAGGAGGGAGGTAACCACCGCTAACGGACCCAGGGGGTCCCCAACAGGGGGGAAGGGGTCTAAGGACCAGGACAGGAAGGCTAACCCTAACCCTGGAGCCAGGCCCAAGACCTCTCCCCCAGGCACCACCTCCACAGCTCAGGCCAGGCCAGGGAAGCTGCAGAAGAGTACAGCAGGGAAGGGTGACTCTCTTCAGGGGGCAGACAGCAGCATGGCCCACCCCGCCACTACCACCCCCTCCACATCAGGCAGTGCCTCCCCTGACAACAGTTCCGGAAGCCCACGCAACTGCCCCACCATGCCAGGTCTGGTCTAACATCCAACATAATTAACTTGCTCCCCAGTGGGCAAAACTGGTTGAAAAGACATTATAATTACTTTGTAATGATGTTCAACTCATTTTGCCAGCTGGGAAACTGTATTTCCCAGGTCTAACATCCAATGTTATTAAGTTGCCTCCCAGCAGGGTAAAAATGGTTGAAAAGACGCAAGGATGTTGTAATTACATTGTAATAACGTTGTGATAATGACGCTGTAATGACGTCATTCTAACCAGTTTTGCCGCTGGGTTAATTCACTCATTGTTATGATGACATGAATTCGATTTTATGGCAGGAAGTTAGAGTATCTGAATAATTTGCTTGATGCAGAAATGATTGGTAGCAGGTTTTGTGGAGAATAAGTAGCAGAGTGATTTACATAAGTTATGCTTTATCCCAGAGGGGTTCTAGGGAGACAGGAGGGAATACATTGAAGTAGAAACACATTGCAGTTGTACTGTGTATAAAGATGAATCAAAAAGCACTTATTTCTTTCATACGTATGAATCATTTTAATGGTAGCACCACAGAAATAAAAATCCATATAGGTAGCACAGCCTGTGTGGCAACAGACACCCGAAAAGCCGCAGAGCTGAAGGTCAAAACCACACAGCTCACACACAGGGGTGTGACCAATTGTTTCTCAACCCCCAGTCTGGTCCTAGCTCCCGTGGTGTATGCTAGTTTGGAGAATGAAATCAAAGTTTATTGGTTGCATACACAGTTACGCAGATGTTATAGCGGGTGCAGCGAAAGCTTGAGTTGCCTCAACATTGCAGTAGAACGTTAAAAAAAATAGTTCAAATATTTATTTTAATCTAGAAAAATCGGAACAAATCCAAATTACAATCCAAATAACACTACAACAATAATCCAAAAAAACTATCTGTGCGTATGTGCATGGGATGAATGTACACAAAGATATACTATGAATGATATGTACAACAATAGATATATTACAGTGAGCTATGTCGAGTACACAGTATATAAATACACAGTGTGTCTAAACAGTATAGAAATGGGAAGTGACCATTGTTCAATGTCTAAATGCATGGGACAGCAGCGTAGTGTGTGTGTGTGTGTGAGCTTGTGTTTGTGTTTTTGAGTGTGTGCGTGTGTGTGTGAGCTTGTGTTTTTGTGTGTGTGTGTGTATGTGTGTGTGTGTGTGTGTGTGTGTGTGTGTGTGTGTGTGTGTGTGTGTGTGTGAGCTTATGTTTGTGTGTGTGTGTGTGTGTGTGTGTGCGTGTGTGAGCTTGTGTTTGTGTTTTTGTGTGTGTGTTTGTGTGTGTGTGTGCTTGTGTTTGTGTTTGTGTTTTTGTGTGAGTGTGTGTGTGTGAGCTTGTTTTTGTGTTTATGTGTGTATGTGTGTGTGTGTGAGAGCTTGTGTTTTGTGTGTGTGTGCGTGTGTGTGTGTGAGCTTGTGTTTGTGTTTTTGTGTGTGTGTGTGTGCTTGTGTTTGTGTTTGTGTTTTTGTGTGAGTGTTTGTGTGTGTGTGTGTGTGTGTGTGTGTGTGTGTGTGAGCTTGTGTTTGTGTTTTTGTGTGAGTGTGTATGTGGGTGTATGTGTGCAAAAAGGACTCGATCAGGTGCAGATCAGAGTACAGGGCCTCAGCCGGCCTGTCCCTCCTTTTCATGCAACAGAGAAAGGGAGAGACTCAGAGTGCCATATGCTCTCCCTCTCTCCCTCTCTCTCTCTAACCAGCCCAGTCATCCCATCTATACTCCAGCTCTATGTTATTGGCCCTGATTGTGCAATATTTGGTTCTGATGTGCAGTACTATTATCAGTTCCTAGCCTCTAGCTCTCACATCCCTGTTAGCTCTCCCTATAATGGAATCATCTGTGTACTTTGTTTGAGGATTTCATGAGTTCAGTTAGCATTTCCCCCCTCGAAACTGTCTGTTTATTGTGGCTCTATTCATTAATAATATTCTGCCTCTTAATCCCTCATTCTAAGTGAGCAGTTTTCATTTTCAGAAATTAGACAGTTTCCAACAATGAATATCAGTGTTTGGTTAAACACACTATAACGATCCTCTGTGTTTTAGATGTTAAGACAAAAACCCAGGCTAAAGTTCTGACCAAATCTCCACTGACCAAACCCCCCCAGAAAATAGACACAGCAAAGACCAACAGGTAAGCAGCATTGCACCCGAAATCAGAACATCCAATTTAGATAGAAGACCATCCCTGAGAAATGGTAGAAACAACTCTGCTGCCCCCCACTGTTATATAGTGGTAATTGCTAATCCATACAGAGATGGGTGAAACGATACATTACAGTACTTGTTAATGCCAAGGTCTTTTGAGATTTATGAGCTTTCATCCCTTAGTGTTATCAGACCCTGTGATTTTGTATCCATTATTTATTGATTGTTGTTATTGTCCTAAATTAAACATTTTTTTAAAGAAATTAAAAATGGCTTTCATTTTGTGAGTCAGGCTTCATTTTCTGCTCTCCGGTGCTGTGTTCTTTTGATTTGATTGTTTTTTTCATCTCCCTGATCAGCCCTACCAATAAGCCCAGCACCAGAGAGGCCAATAAAGCCAAGCTCCCCGCTACAGGAAGAACAACAACTGTAGGAACAGGAGCCAGAGCAGACACGAAGGGGATGAGCCCACCAACAGGCTCAGCTGAGAACCATGGTGAGAGGCAGAACCGTGTGCGCGCGCGCGTGTGTGTGTGGACGTGCGTCCATGCGTGCGTGCGTGTGTGTTTTTTCCAATACAAATCCTAACATCATCTCACTGTGGGCCAAAGTATTGAAATATTCGTCCCTTTTTCTTGTTTCTCGTCACATGCAGTCTCTAGATCTGGGTCCTCCCTGAGTGCCAGAAAGCCTGCGTCTCCCAGGAAACAGGAGGATAAGGATAGCTCCACAGTCTCAGCAGACAAAACAGCCAGGAAGACCACAAAAAACACCCCAGCTACCCCAGCCACAGCCAAATCTACTTCTAAACCAGCAAAGGCCATCTCCAGCTCCTCTCCTTCCAAACAGCCTCCACTAGCAACGGCCAAACCTGGACCAAAGCAGAAGGGTACCTCTGAATCTCCTACAGAGAAAGCCTCACCCAAGTCAGTTGGGCCAGTTAAAAACTCTTCCACCTCTGTCGTTTCATCCAAAAAGCCTGCAGCTAAAGAGAAAGAGGGATCTAATGGTAAAACCTCTGCAGACACCCAGCAGGCTAATGACACTGGTGCTGGAGCAGAGAGGGTCCCCTCCCATTCAGATCCCAGAGAGAAGGCCTCAGAGCCAGCAGCAACATCCACAGAGCAGAGTCCAGCTCATAACAGCCCACTACCACCAGGCCCCAAGGGCCACAGTGGAGGAGAGGACTCCCTCTCCTTACCCCTGAACGCCAGCCCTACGCAAAGTCCTCAGAAGTCTGCCAAACAACCAGGTAAACCTAACTGCACAGGAGGAGTCAGGGCTCTGTCCAGTCAGCCACCAGCAACCAACCACATCTCTCAAGGGAATGACCTCGTTAACAGAGAGCCTGCTAAGCACACAGAGGGGACATACACAGGTAAACACACTCCTGGCTCAGCCACAGACCTTCCGCTGGACACCCCAACCCCAGGCAGCCCTCTGGAGGACTCGTGGAGCAGCCTGCACCACCAGGTCAGCCCCGAGTCAGAATCCGGTAGCGCCACCACCTCATCAGACGACATCAAGCCTCGCTCTGAGGACTACGATGCCGGGGGCTCCCAGGATGATGTGGACGACTGCTGCTCCAACGATCGCGGCGAATCCAAGGGGGGCGGCACCATGCGTTGCCATGACTTCCTGGGCCGCAGTAGTAGTGACACAAGTACGCCTGAGGAGCTGAAGATGCTGGATGGCGGGCTGCGGGTCGAGGTGAGGCTGAAGGGGCGCGAGGTAGAGACCACCAGCGAGGAGGAAGGGGTGAGGCGACGGCCGCGCTCCTGGCTGAGCAGGGACAGAGACGAGGTCCCTGTTGAGGAGGAGGTGGAGGCCAATATTACGGTGAAGCAGGTCCCCGATAGCCAGCTCTTCTCCTCTGAGGAGTCCGAGGAGTCTGAAGAGGAGGAGGAAGAGGATGAGAGGTCAGAGGTGGAGGTTCTTCCTGTTCACCAGGCCCCTCCGCCTCCTGCTGACCCCTCCTCTCAGTTCCAGGGCATTGTGAACCTGGCCTTCGAGGACGGAGCTGACCCTGACCAAGACAACGAACAACAGCAGCAAATGGACTACCAATCAGCCTCTAACTTCCGCCGCTCTGTTCTGATCTCTGTTGACGAGTGTGAGGAGCTGGGATCAGAGGAGTGCGCGGTGCAGACTCCGCCCCAGCAACAGCCTGATGACCCACTCACGCCCTGCGACGTCTTCGGGAGCGACCGTCCTCCGGCCCCTCAGTCAGCCCCAAACTCCATCTCTCACTCTGGGGGTCACCTGGCATCGGACCTTCCCAAAAGCACACCTCAGCAGCAGCAGGAACAAGGCAACAAGCACGAGTCCAACAACAACAAACCCAACAAACCCATCGTTTTCCTCACTGAGATCCAGGATCCTCTTGTAGATGACCATAACCCCACCAAGGTGGAGGGAGTAGAGCCCTCCCCTGGTTGCCCTCCTCTGGACCATGACCCCACTGACCTGCCTCCCCAGGAGCGGGAGAGACCCTGCCACCTAGACCTCCGGCCTGCTGAACAGTACAGCAATGGAGGATCACCACGCAAGAACCCCTCAACCAAGCCTAGCCAAGCATCTATACCTGTGCCTGTAGACAGCAAGAGATCAGACTTACATACAGACTTAAATTACCCTCAGCAGAAAGGGGGCTCTCCTGCACATGCAGCTATCCCACAATCCCCAGCAGGTAATGTATAATAATCTACATCTAGGAACCCACCCAATTTAAACCCCTTGCCAAACCCCTTGCCAAACCCCTCACCCATTCTCCCCACCCTGCCAAACTCCATTAGTCAAGGCATAGTTAGTTAATTAGTTCACCCTTTGCAAGATACAATCTCCTCTGTCTGATATAACATGATGCTCAGACTATTCATTTGCATTATGACACGTACACTTATCCCCTTCCTCTCAAAATGGATATAATACAGATTACTTAACTAGTTCAAATTCAAATTGGATGAGGAGGTCATTTTTTGATATGCCCATATACTGTAGCTGAAAGCTTGCTATAAATACACAAAACATTGGTTTGTGTACCAGTCCCTTGATTTGAATTGGTAACACCAATATCCTTGAAAAAATGGAGATTGGTCAATCAAGAAATGTGCAGAAGTAGCTTAGCTATAATCATCATATAACAACGGAACTACCTTTTTTCAGAGGCATTCTGACCTTGACTACTAAGATTACTTATGAAAAGGGAGAAAAAAAGCAATGTTCATTTCAATGAGAAAACTGATACTAAAATATTAAGTTGAGTCCTAAATGGCACCCTATTCCCTTTTATAGGGCACTACTTTTGACCATAGGGTCAAAAGTAGTGCACTATGTAAGGAATAGGGTTCCATTTGGGATGCGACCTTAGTGTAAAGTACTGCGCCATGTGTTGGTTAGAAACCACCTGCCTTCTGACAAGGTGTGGCGGACTGACATAGGCCTAGTTGTACGAATGCACTTTGATGTACATAAAAATGCTAATATTCAATGATTTTTCATTGTTTCTTTTAGTGAATGCCATGAAATCCAACAGCTCCTGGCCTTTTTTAAGCCACAGCTGATTATATTATTTATTGAGATTGATGTCTCCATCATTTGTGTTCGATGCAAAAGACGTGCAACCAAGATATGATTTTTACTATCAAATCAAATTACATAATAATATGCAAAGTGGCCAGTTGATTTGGAGGGTAAATCCAAAAATATCTGTATTGTACTAATGGACCACACTACTAAGCTGTACGACCAGATTACTTTTGAAAAAGGTGTATGTCAATCTTTGTTTTACCTACCTATAGGGACCCTTACCTACCCAGGATCGGCTTGTTTTTCTTTTTGTTGTTATTTATTGTCAGACCCTCCTAACCTGTATCTGCTCATCAGCCTGCTTATCTATAAAGACATCTGCATGATAATAGTACATTCCATTTGTTGTGTGTCTTTTTATTTATTCCACCCAATATGTTTGTGTTTTTACTTCATTCTGTTTTTACTCGCTTTATTCTGTAATGCTGGTTTGGTTCAATAGACTTTGTGTGGTGCTGCCTGGTAGTCTTCTGTATGTGGTGTGTCTAGAACAATCTTTATCTTCCATGTCTCTCTTTTTTCACTCTCATATGATACAGCAAACCCTTGCGTTATTACTTAGTCAGGGGTCGTGTCTGAAATGGCACCCTATTCCTCATATAGTGCACTACTTTGTGCACTATATAGGGGATATGGTGGCATTTGGGATGCATCCTAGTTAGGGTCTATCCCAGTGCAAAACATATTGATCTTGTTTCTGCTGTCAACAGCAATAGGTGGTCAACTGTATCATCCATTACCAGCATGGACCTTTTATTTACAGTGATATTGAAGCAGTGTTAATAAGAGAACGAAAGAAACTGTACATAAAACCAGATGGGAAATGTCAGATTAACCTACGTACTTCCCTTTGTGCTGCAAAGTAAATCATTTCTGCCTGGATTTAGGTTTTTCTGAAAGTATTATAATCATATCTGTACAATGCAATAGTTCTATTCATTAGTTAAAGATACCTGCACGGTTTATTTCTTCAAACATATCACTGGTGCCTGAGCAAACTGAGTTATGCAGAGTTAACTAACCAGCGCTGGCAATGCAATGCAATGCATGGCTTACTGTCATTTTTACTGGTGGATAAAAGAGACACATCCAGACAACTACATCCCTCTGTGCTTGACCTTTAAGGCAGCTGTCCATCCTGTCTGTCACCCACAGTCCAGGTCAGTGACTACTCATATAATTCTAAATTATATCAATTTCATATCATAATTCATTGGTCTGTAACTAGGTACCAATGCAATGGTGAAATGAGGGTTTCCCCCCTCTCTCCTAGTGGAATAGAGGACAGGTCATTGCCTCATCCTGTCATTTGATTATTAAATGGTTGTTAAGAGGACACAGTTGCATTAAGGGTGAAACTTTAGTAATCTAAATGTTGGGATAATAATGGAAAGAAGTGACCTGCAGAATGCCTGTGTAATGACTATGGACTTATGGAAAGATGAATCGTTATGTCATTGTACAGTATTGTCAACTGTTTTTAGGGGACATTGAGGGACAATGTCACAGATTGGATCAAACAACAACCCCAACCTGTACACATGACCGACGCTCCTCCAAAGCCCTCTCTCCCATCTACGGACTGAACGTGAGACAAGCCTTTGAGTACCCCAGCTCCTCTGACAACAGGAGCAGGAGGAGCACAGTGGGGCGGGAGGGGGAGGAGGAGAACGATGAAGATTACAATGAAGAGAGCAGTACGTTTGCGGAGCGTGACTGGAGCATGCTGAAGCAACTCCTCTCGGACCAGGAGTCCAGTCTGGGCATCATAATCCCAGTCCCTGAGGACCTAAACCTAGCCCAGTATCTCATCAAGCAGACCCTGTCCCTCTCCCGGGACTGCCTGGACACACAGCAGACCTTCCTGCCCCACGAGAAGGAGACATTTAAACGCTGGGCAGAGCTCATATCACCCCTGGAGGACTCCACAACCAGCATCACTGTGACCAGCTTCTCGCCTGAGGATGCTGCCTCTCCGCAGGGGGAGTGGACCATCGTGGAGCTAGAAACGTATCACTGACACAGAATTAAGACTAATCATCTTGGAGTTATAAACACATCACTTGATTGACAGGTTTAAGGACTAAGGAGACACTATGTTAACTTCTCTCTGGATTGATCAACCTTCTCTCTGGATTGATCAACTATACTACACTTCTTCTGAGACAGACACTACAACAGTACTATCTATCAGGGACCTGGTACACTTTCTCTCTGGACTTCTACAACATGTCTTTGGTTCACTGACAACTACAGTACCACAATTATTCTGTCTTATACCTTGATTTCATGATGTTTGAGTCCTCCTGTATTTATTGGTTGACTGTCTCATGCTTTTTATGCTGCTTTTTATGGACTCTCAAGCTGAGCTTGTTTGTTTGCATTCAGTCCCCTTCACAGTGCTTGACTTGGACTGAAATAGGTTCCAGTACTCACTTTGGGTGCCGGTACTGTTTATATTTAGGTGCAGGAGCTCCACAAGACTTTTGAGCAAATTTTCGATAAGAGGAACAGGAGCTCAAGCAGTATAACATTTTAGGTGCCGGAACTCAGCTCCAGTGAGCTCCTGCCCAAGTCAAGCACTGCCCCTTCATCACCTTCAGTTATATCCTTAATACTTAATGGACTGAGAGTTTAGACACAAATAAGCTGTTGTGCATGCAGACATTTTTGTATGTTTAACTGTTTACTTGGTGTTTGCAACCTTTAGAAAGAAGAACATTTAAAAAAAAAAGCAAATGTATTTCTCATGGCTCTCTACTCATGATGATGGTTAGACAGTGGAGTTTCACAGAAACTAGAGAACATGTTGGTCTGTTGGCTTTACATTCATTGTTGTGTATATGAAAATAAAAATGTTTGGTTCTAAATACAATGGTTTCATTTCTTCTTCTTTTTGTGATAGTTAAAATACAATAGTAGATCATAAAAATTAAATAAAGATAATTTGTGAAATTATATAGATTTGTATTGTACATGTCGGGTTAAAATGAGGGATACACTTCAAAAGGAATATTTGAGGATTTGTTACTCTACGTGAAATGAATTAAATAGCGTCACCTTTTGGGATCCAGTGACGTCATTGCTCACGCCTCCTTCGCATGCCTCCTTCATCTCGCTCGATTCCAGTCAATCATTAACAGTTCATTCGGGCAAAACAGACTTGTTTTGTTATCCAACTTCGCTCCCTATCTTATCTTGGTTGAATACAGTTAGCTACATACCACCACCTATAATGACGACCAACGGTAATGACAGGACAACTCAATGGAAAACAACAATTATAGTCAGCACATCACTTCAGGTAACGTTTAACACCACAAATGGCTAGCCAAAAAAGTTGCTAGCAAGCTAGCTTGGCCAGAAATTGACAGTTTCTGTTGTATAATTGAGTTCTTCCCGATATTGATATGAAGTCACAATATTGTCAATTTGATTATTACAGCTTATTAGATTTAATCATGACATTACCCATCTAAAACATTACCCATCTAAAACGCACAGAATCATGACACATCCAGGACGCTTCTTGCACAGCACCATCGGATCCGATTCTCAGACGCTGTCAATTCGGGGTCCTTTGTTTTCCCAATGTCAGGTAATCATCAGTTTGACATGACATTATTTGATTCATGCTTCAAAGGTATGGTATGTCTATACTAGAGATTGGTGTCTTTAGGCTATACAATTTCCAATGCTAAGAAGACCATTTCACAGTGTCACCTACCACCTGCTGTAAGGGGGTTTTCTGCCATACACACACTGACCCCTGGGCCTGTCATGACATCAGATACCTTTCAGCTAATGTGGTCATAACTTCAAAAACTGCAGGATTTTGCTCCTATTAAAAGGCTGCAGAAGACTTCCATCTGTTATTAGCTAGATATTTTGTGATAGTCCATTGGCTCCCTCATAATCTAGCAAATAAAGCACATAAACCCAAGGCCTATTGGCAAAACCAAAGTAGTGTTATAAATGAATGTATATGTGGGCTGTCCAGGTATTGCATTCCTCATAATAAACCCACAAGAACTACCAGAGAACCTTGAGGAAGCAGGACTGTTTGACAAGATCAAGAAGTTTGTGACGGTTCACCGCAATAGTTTCCTTCTCCTGCAAGCCCCTTTTTATGGGAAGAAGGAACTGGACATCATGTCACTGATACAGCACAGGTATAGTTATTTGTATTATACTTTAAAGCAGACAATCATTTTATTCCTGTCTGGAACGATTCTAACATGTGCAAATGTTGTACATTATAGGCCAATGTGGACTAGTGTAGTTTCACAGTAATGATCACTCCCAATCTAAATGATGATCCTACTGTACTGACCCAAATACATTCAAATGACTGTAGTAGTTTTTAATAATGGAACAATATTTCCGGTCACATTGATGTGTTAGTGCTGTGCTTTCATTGTGTGTAACTGAGGGATCCTGTGGTCTATTGCAGATTCCTTGGCAGCAATCTCAGAGTTCTACCTGTACGTAACAACACAGAGATAGTCAAGGGGATGCTGACTATAGCCAAAGTAAGGATGAAAGAAGACACCCCTAAGTCCTCACACATTATATTGACATGGATGATAAGTAATAATAATACTGAAAAACTAAAATAAAGATACTTGACATTAGTTGATACAAATATTGTTTATAACGATAAAGTTGATACAAAGTCAGGCTACTTTTCTTTGCTAGGTTTAACAGGGACAAGGCACATTAATAAACATTTCTGTCAATGTGCCAGATTTTTGCCAGCCAGCTAAAGTTGAAAGTTCATCATGTTTTCCCCCTGTGATAATGAAAGTGCATTATGGCTGATCTCATCTTCCAGGCCACCAGTAAGCCCCATGTTGACAGTGTGCTGGATCGGATGTCTCTGGCCAGGGCCCACATCATAGAGAGCAGCTCTGTCTGGGAGATGCTCAGGGATATTAAGCTGGGGTGAGCAGCTGGTGCAGAGTGGGGATGCCAGTTCCCCTCAAACCTACCTGTCCATGATAGGTTAGTGACACTAATGGCTGATTTATGCTAGGTCTGGCATCTACTGTGTTCACGGTCACAAGCAGAGAATGTCATTAACCCAACTGGCATGTGTTTAGTGTGCTTAATATACTCACTGCATCCAATCCTGTATCCAGCAGAATACTATTACTGTATAGATTCAGTAGAAAGTCAATTGAAAATCCAGCATTGCAAATAAGTGAAATGAGGCTTAAATAAAGAAAGCATTTTGTGTAGATTGTGTATTTATTATTAGCCTGAATTATCATTTTTAAAAGCATAAGACTCTGAGCCGTCTCTGTTAGACAGCAGTCCCAGTTTTCACTTTCTCCTCTGATATCTCCTCAATACGGATCACTAAACTCTCCATCAGGTCAAAGGTCACCAGAGCACACTGCAGTACCTGTGAAGTCCAAATAACTGTCAGTGCCAATTCAAATTATTAAATTCAATGTGACAAGCACGTAAAAACAGCTGTGGTAACGTGGCTGTAGTTACCTGATACTGCATCTCTGGGGTCATATCTGATACCTTCTCGTTCTTCACGGTCATAGTCTGAACTAATGCACCTCTAGCCTCTCTGGCTTCTGTTAGTGGATGAGAGTCACAATAATACATTGATTTCTGTACACAGTATAACACGTTGTACATTGTTCCCAGAATAATACACAGTATTTACATGTAATACATTTTAATAGATTAGAGTACTGCAGTGTAGAGAAATGTGCTTTCTTACCCTGTGCTTGAATCTTCTTGTCCTCTCTCATGTTCTTAACCTGCCCTGTGTAGTAGGCTCTAGAGAGGGCCAGACACACCCTCAGCATCTGCAGGTAGTCCTCTTCGATCTTGCACAGCTCCGGCCATATACTTGACTGAAAACATCAGCGTTAGGCCATCACCATGCTGTCTTGTCTTAAGCACGTCAACTGACTAGTAGCTAGGTTTAATATTCTGAGTTATATGAATGTGTCAAAAACACTCACAGTCTGCTGCCAGTCCATGTCTCGCATAAGCAGGTATCGTAACAGATTGAGAGACTCCATTACCCTAAGGTAGAGAACGACAAAGAATACTATACTGAACAAAAATATAAACGCAACATGCAACAATTTCAACAATTTTACTGAGTTACAGTTCATATAAGGAAATCAGTGTATTGAAATAAATAAATTAGGCCCTAATCTATGGATTTCACATGACTGGGAATACAGATATGCATCTGTTGGTCACAGATACCTTCTCGTCACAGATCTCGTCACGGTATCTCTGTGTATTCAAATTGCCATCGATAAAATGCAGTTGTGTTCGTTGTCCGTAGCTTATGCCTGCCCATACCATAACCCCTCCGCCACCATGGGGTGCTCTGTTCACAACGTTGACATCAGCAAACCGCTCGCCCACACAACGCCATACACGTGGTCTGAGGTTGTGAGGTGTTTGAACGTACTGCCAAATTCTCTAAAACGCGTTGGAGGTGGCTTATGGTAGAGAAATGAACATTAAATTCTCTGGCAACAGCTCTGGTGGAATTCCTGCCGGCAGCATGCCAATTGCACGCTCCCTCAAAACTGCACCTGTGTAATGATCATGCTGTTTAATCAGCTTCTTGATATGCCACAACTGTCAGGTGGATGGGTTATCTTGGCAATGGAGAAATGCTCACTAACAGGGATGTAAATATATTTGTGCACAACATTTTAGATAAATAAGCTTTTTGTGCGTATGGAACATTTCTGGGGTCTTTTATTTCAGCTCATGAAATATGGGACCAAAACCTTACATGTTGCATTTATATTTTTGTTCAGTATATATATATATATATATATATATATATATATATTATATTGTCTGTGTTTCAATCCGGCATTACAAGTTGACAACAGTCAGTTTATGTTGACCAATTTACTACTGTCTATGTTTTAAACTGGATGCAGAGTTGATTAATCAATTATATCTTGTTGGCTAAGAACGCTATCTCCATTGTTCGAAAGAAAGGGATTCTAGGAATGAAACCTGATCTTCATTAGAGAATAGATCTGTGCCGTAGTCCATGTTCCATCTGCCTTATGCTGGGCACCAGATATACGTGGCTAGAATATGCAGCTCTCTACTGCAGTATTAATGATGACCAGATAAGGGAACGCTCACAGTCACAGCTTGTAGAGGGGCAAGGCAGGCTCACCAGTCCAGGGCTAGTATTTTAGACTTGAGAGAGGTAGCAGGATTGCTTAGACAGACCCTATGGGCCAGTTTCCCAGATACAGATTAAGCCTAGTCCTAGAAAAAGTATGCACAATGCTCTCCATTGACAGTGTTTTTTTTTAGTCCAGGACTAGGTTTAATCTGTATCAGGTAACCGGCCCTAAATATAGGGAGAGGTCAAACGGTACTAACCTGTCCATACTGTTCAGCAGGTCTGTTTCGGGGCCCCGTGGGAAACACAGAACCAGTCTCAGTAGGGGAAGAACCTGGATCCCCACAAACCATTCACTCTCATGACCTGGCTAGAGATAACAAGGAGAATAACGCAATTACAGGTTGCACTGTATACACCTTTTCTAGTGCAATGAAGTGGAGCGACTGTCCTGTTTATCAAAATGTCATGTACTATATCTTACCTTCAAGGAGAGCTCAATCTGATTTTTGATGTTCTTTATAATGTAACCCTCTACTCCGGCATGGCGACTGGTTTTTATCATACACCTACGATAAGAAATCAGGATATTCAAGATTTCTTACCCCGTTTGTAATACCTTGTGGTCCTGCCCCCCCCCCCCCCCCCCCCCCCCCCCCGGGGGCACGTTTTGGTTTTTGCACTAGCACTACACAGCTGATTCAAATAAACAAAGCATGATGATGAGTTGGTTATTTAAATCAGCTGTGTAGTGCTAGGGGAAACTCTGTTCTTTAAATCCTATCTTATAGAGTACTACAGATCCATCCAGTGCAGACATACAGACTATACAGTATTCTCACCTGAAGAATTTGTGCTTAGCCTCAGGTCCCAATTTATCTATGAAGAGCTGGAACACTTTAAACCCTCGTTCTCTCTGGTAACAGGAGAAATTACTTATTAGGCTAACAGGTACACAGAACCAAAATTATTTGATTTAGTACAGTTTCAATGTGTTTTATTCATGCAGGAGTTTTATTCAATTACCAAACCCTGAATCGGACACACAGTCAGGATCTGCACCAAGTGCTGCATTTCCATACAACAACAAAAACACAAATCACAAATTATTATTATTACGTCTTACATATGCATCTGTTTAACTGCTTCTGGTATGTAGTCAGACTCACCTGTGGAACACTGTAAAATGACTTTAGGTCCAACAGCTCAACTGGGAGGCTGTTATCCTCCACTCTCTCCAAGCTTTTTGTATATAATTCCTGAGTGATAGAGAATGGAGAAGAATAGTTAGCAATACTTACTACTCAGAGAATTCACTCAATATAGTATTGGGAAGATTTGCAATCAATTTGTTCTTACCAGGCCTTTGAGTAGGAACGATTCTTCCTTTCTATTTTAGAAAAGAAAACCTCTTGTTTAGAGGAACACTGTATATCTTAAACCAAGGTTTTATTATCATGTAAGAACAGTATAGCTCTGAAAACATACCTACTCAGTAGGACGTCAATATATTCCATATTACACTGCAGGACAAACACAGGGCTGAGAGATCAACAAAATAATATTAATACTATGATATGTTTCAAACATAGTTATCACCCCATATCTTCAATGACACGGTTATTCAGAACCTTTCTACTGTGTTTCACCTGAAGACTGCTGGAAAGCTCTCAATGGTGATGAGCTGGACAAAGAGCAGGTATGCCAGACAGGCCCGTGACTCCTGGGCTTCAGTACTGTCTGTCAGGAGGTCAGACTTCTCCCTCTTCTTCAGAGCCTTGTAGAACAGGAGGCCTGGGAGAGGCTCCTGGATGGCTGGTAGGGTGGCCTAGGATCAAAAACACAATGTAGTCTTGTTTTAGCTAAGTTCATATTCAAATTGTCTCTACGAGGTTGATTGCCTTGCTGGGTAGTCTCGCTTACTAGCTGGGAGATGCAGTAGAAAAAAGAGCTAACCCTTAGTGTAGTGTGCAGAGCCACCAAGTAGGCCCAGATTACTTACCAGGATGTCTGTCGCAAAGTGCCATAGGGGAGACTGTTTATGGATGTCTATAGCCTGATCAAGCTGTGCCTGAAGGAGCGGCTCCCTCAAGCTCCCCATGCAGCTGTAGATAGAATAATAATATGCCTTACAGATCAACAAGCCGGTGCAGTATCTTCTACTCTCCTGATTATAACCCTACCAACAACTACATCTGATTGATAAATCTAGGAAAAAGTGCTCCTTTTACCAACATTCATATCCAACAAAGCACACAGACAGACAGACAGACAGGCAGGCAGGCAGGCAGACATACACCTACAACTTAAGAAGCTCAGTCTTTAGCTGATTGTCTGAAGCAGTGCCACCATCCTCGCTGTTGTCCTTCCTCTTCACCTCCTCCACGAATGGCTCCATGAACCTGGCCAGGGCTGAGCAGCAACGACACAGACCGTAGGCATCCTCCACTTCTTGCTCCTTGGTGTAAGGCACTGGCAGCCTGGACACCTGCTTCTGTAGGGCAGCCAGAGCCAGACCTACCCAGGGAGCCTTCTCCTCACCCAGACGCAGCAGCACTAGGAGAGGGAAGGAGACATTTAAAAGTCAACAACATGAATAGCACTAGAAGAGGCAAGGATACGTTTTTTTAAGTAATTGAAGCAATGCATTATGTATAGGTTATTTTACTGCATTCTGACTTGTTTTGAGGGAATTTATTAATAAATATTTGGAAAGGAATGTATGAAAATGGCTCTCTACTGTCATTCAATCAATTACAATAAAAATGTGGGTTATCTAAGTCCAATTAAGAAATCTTATTAAATCGCTTCAACAGAATCTGGATTAACCTAAAGCATCTAGCATTGAAAAAATACTGAAAGAAGCTGCAACCAAAGAAGTTGATTGCCAAGTTACAGTGCCTTTGGAAAGTATTCAGACCCCTTGACTTTTTCCACATTTTGTTACGTTACAGCCTTATTCTAAAATTGATTAAATTGTTTTTTTCCCTCATCAATCTACACACAATACCCCATAATGACAAAGCAAAAACAAGTTTGTAGAAATGTTTGCTAATTTATTAAAAAAAATATATGTAAAACATTATTACATATACATAAGTATTCAGACCCTTTACTCAGTACTTTGTTGAAGCACCTTTGGCAGCTATTACAGCATCGAGTCTTCTTGGGTATGACGCTACAAGCTTGGCACACCTGTATTTGGGGAGTTTCTCCCATTCTTCTCTGCAGATCTTCTCAAGCTCTGTCAGGTTAGATGGGGAGCGTTGCTGCACAGCTATTTTCAGGTCTCTCCAGAGATGTTCGATCGGGTTAAAGTCCAGGCTCTGGCTTGGCCACTCAAGGACATTCAGAGACTTGTCCCGAAGCCACTCCTGCGTTGTCTTGGCTGTGTGCTTAGGGTCGTTGTCCTGTTGTAAGGTGAACCTTCGCCCCAGTCTAAGGTCCTGAGCGCTCTGGAGCAGGTTTTCATCAAGGATCTCTCTGTTCTTTGCTCCGTTCATCTTTGCCTCGATCCTGACAAGTCTCCCAGTCCCTGCCTCTGAAAAACATCCCCACAGCATGATGCTGCCACAACCATGCTTCACCGTAGGGATGGTGACAGGTTTCCTCCAGACGTGACACTTGGCATTCAGGCCAAAGAGTTCAATCTTGGTTTCATCAGACCAGAGAATCTTGTTTGTGCCTTTTACTGAGGAGTGGCTTCCATCTGGCCACTCTACCATAAAGGCCTGATTGGTGGAGTGCTGCAGAGATGGTTGTCCTTCTGGAAGGTTCTCCCATCTCCACAAAGGAACTCTAGAGCTCTGTCAGAGTGACCATCGGGTTCTTGGTCACCTCCCTGACCAAGGCCATTCTCCCCCCGATTGCTCAGTTTGGCCGGGTGGCCAGCTCTAGGAAGAGTCTTGGTGATTCCAAACTTCTTCCATTTAAGAATGATGGAGGCCACTGTGTTCTTGGGGACCTTCAATGATGCAGAAATGTTTTGGTACCCTTCCCCAGATCTGTGCCTCGACACAATCCTGTCTCGGAGCTCTACGGACAATTCCTTCAACCTCATGGCTTGGTTTTTGCTCTGACATGCACTGTCAACTGTAGGACCTTAAATAGACAGGTGTGTGCATTTCCAAATCATGTCCAATCAATTGAATTTACCACAGGTAGACTCCAATCAAGTTGTAGAAACATCTCAAGGATGATCAATGGAAACAGGATGCACCTGAGCTCAATTTCGAGTCTCATAGTAAAGGGTCTGAATACTTATGTAAATAAGGTATTTCTGTTTTTATTTTGAATAAATTAGCAAAAATGTCTAAACGAGTTATTGCTTTATCATTATGGGGTATTGTATGACGATTGCTGAGGATTTTTATTTATTTAATCCATTTTTGAATAAGGCTGTAACGTAACAAAATGTGGAAAAAGTCAAGGGGTCTGAATACTTTCCGAAGGCACTGTATATCAAGGGTTGACTGAATTTCTACCTGATAGCTCAGAACCTATAAGGTAAAAATGGGAAACAGATCTCAAAGAAGAAATTGATGAGAACTATTGGTCACAGATATGTGAAAATTTTTATATTTGCTCCTACAACCTTAGACATAAATTATTGCAATTCAAGATAATCCATAGGATTTACTACACTCCTGCCAGAATGCATGTAATGTACCCAGAAATGTCATATCGCTGTTGGAGATGCAAAAAACTCAAAGGAACCCTATTACATATGCTGTGGTCCTGTGAGAAATTGACACCATTTTGGGATAATGTCTGTGCTATCATATCATTGTGTCAAGGAATTTATATCCATCCATCTCCACGGTTATGACTCTTCGGAAATGTCAATATTCTTGACCAATATCAAAGAACGTTTTGTAACTTACACTACTGTTCAAAAGTTTGGGGTCACTTAGAAATGTCCTTGTTTTTGAAAGAAAAGCAAATTTTTTGTCCATTAAAATAACATCAAATTGATCAGAAATACAGTGTAGACATTGTTAATGTTGTAAATGGCTTTGTAGCTGGAAACGGCAGATTTTTAATGGAATATCTACATAGGCGTACAGAGGCCCATTATCAGCAACCATCAGTCCTGTGTTCCAATGGCACGTTGTGTTTGCTAATCCAAGTTTATCATTTTAAAAGGCTAATTGATCATTATAAAACACTTTTGCAATGATGTTAGCACAGCTGAAAACTGTTGTGCTGATTAAAGAAGCAATAAAACTGGCCTTCTTGAGACTAGTTGAGTATCTGGAGCATCAGCAATTGTGGGTTCGATTACAGGCTCAAAATGGCCAGAAACAAATAACTTTCTTATGAAACTCATCAGTCTATTCTTGTTCTTAGAAATGAAGGCTATTCTATGCGAGAAATTGCCAAGAAACTGAAGATCTCGTACAACGCTGTGTACTACTTCCTTCACAGAACTGCCCATCTTTTATTTTTATTGGCCAGTCTGAGATATGGCTTTTTCGTTGCAACTCTGCCTAGAAGGTCAGCATCCCGGAGTCACCTCTTCACTGTTGACATTGAGACTGGTGTTTTGCGGGTACTATTTAATGAAGCTGCCAGTTGAGGACCTGTGAGTCGTCTGTTTCTCAAACTAGACACTCTAATGTATTTGTCCTCTTGCTCAGTTGTGCACCGGGCCTCCCACTCCTCTTTCTATTCTGGTTAGAGGCAGTTTGCACTGTTCTGTGAAGGGAGTAGTACACAGCGTTGTACGAGATCTTCAGTTTCTTGGCAATTTCTCAGAACAAGAATAGACTGACGAGTTTCAGAAGAAAGTTATTTGTTTCTGGCCATTTTGAGCCTGTAATCGAACCCTCAATTGCTGATGCTCCAGATACTCAACTAGTCTCAAGAAGGCCAGTTTTATTGCTTCTTTAATCAGCACAACAGTTTTCAGCTGTGCTAACATAATTGCAAAAGGGTTTTCTAATGATCAATTAGCCTTTTAAAATGATAAACTTGGATTAGCAAACACAACGTGCCATTGGAACACAGTTGAATTTGATGTCATTTTAATGGACAAAAAAATTGCTTTTCTTTTGAAAACAAGGACATTTCTAAGTGACCCCAACTTTTGAATGGTAGTGTAGGTCTAATTGCTGCAAAAATATGTATAGCTATCAATTGGAAAGCATCATACTCACTCAACGTCAATAACGAACTGGAGGGCTGAACTATGTAGTTACATTCCATTAGATTATGTGTTTTATAAAATTAAGCCAAAAAAAAAAGACATGTTTGATAAAATCTAGAAACCATACATTGGTCATCTTGAGGAGTGTAAGATTTCCCAACAGACATAATTGTGTTTGAATTTGATATGTATATGTGTATTGAAAGGGAAGGCTACTGTGTTTTTGTAGGTTCATGGACAGTTGTGGGCATGTTGGGGTGTGTATTGGCTGTGGTGGTTGTGTTGTTTTTGTGTTCTGTTTGTTTGTTTGTTTATACATCTTTTTTTTAAATCGGGAGAAAAAAATGAAAGTAAATGTCATCAAAATGAAGTTACAGTAAGTGTCCAGTAGAGGGCAGCAAACAACATCTGCAGGAGATAGCCTTCACAATTCACCGTGTTACCTGTAGCAGCTATAAATCAAATCAAATCAAATTGTATTTGTCACATACACGTGTTTAGCAGCTGTTATAGCGGGTGTAGCGAAATGCTTGTGCTTCTAGCTCCGACAGTGCAGTAATATCTAACAAGTAATATCTAACAATTTCACAACATATACCCAATACACACAAGACTTGTAAGGAATGGAATTTAAGAAAATATACATATGTGGACAAGCAATGACAGAGCGGCATGGACTAAGATACAGTAGAATATTATAGAATAGAATGCAGTATATACATATGAGATGAGTAGTGCAAGATATGTAAACTTTATTAAATTGACTAGTGTTCCATTTCTTAAAGGAACACTAGTCACTTTAATAACGCTTACATATCTTGCACTACTCATCTCATATGTATATACTGCATTCTATTCTATAATATTCTACTGTATCTTTACTAGTTATACCACTGCTCAGTATTACCTGTCTGAAGATGGGGGGCCATAAGTACGATGGTATCAGCGATGAGGTCCGGATGAAGGTCATCCACTTGGCCGAGAAAAATCAGCATGAGTTCCATCGGGCTGCATGTCTGAGAGAGCAGATTTATACATTACTGTTAACTCTGATGCCATGCCATGTGAATCTACCCACTGTTTAGCCTCCTGCCAGCCACTTCTGTCAAAGGTCATTCATAGTGTTTATAGTTTACCTTGGCCAGGTGTGTGATAACGGCCTGACAGGTAAAGGAACTCTTCTTCTTCAGTACCTCGGCCACCAGGGAAGCCAGAAGGCCACAGCCCATAGACTCCACTATACCCTGGGTCAGATAAAATAACCAGAAACTTCTGAGTCATGTTGTGTCTACTTTTTACATTTACAAAGAATGCTGCAACAGTTGCACAAGTTTATGGGGTGGCATACAAATTGTTGGTTGAATGTGGGCTCTCTTGATTATGACCACCTTGACTACCCCCTCAATTCGATCAATAAGTTGACGTCCTTGCGAGGTAGCTACAGACCCTTTTATGACTCCATGACGTCCTTGCAGGGTAGCTATAGACCCTTTTATGACCATCAAAATGAACTACATTTCCCTTACATGTTCTCATTTTAAAGTATGATATAATATTAAAATATAATATTAAGAAAGTCTCGAGGTTTTGCTCGCCTGAGGTAGAGTATCTCATGATAAGCTGTAGACCACACTATTTACCAAGAGAGTTTTCATCTATATTTTTCGTAGCTGTCTATTTACCACCACAAACCGATGCTGGCACTAAGACCGCACTCAATGAGCTGTATAAGGCCATAAGCAAACAGGAAAACGCTCATCCAGAGGCAGCGCTCCTAGTGGCCGGGGACTTTAATGCAGGGAAACTTAAATCAGTTTTACCTAATTTCTACCAGCATGTTAAATGTGCAACCAGAGGGAAAAAAAACTCTAGACCACCTTTACACCACACATAGAGACGCGTACGAAGCTCTCCCTCGCCCTCCATTTGGCAAATCTGACCACAATTCTATCCTCCTGATTCCTGCTTACAAGCAAAAACTAAAGCAGGAAGCACCAGTGACTCAGTCAATAAAGAAGGGGTCAGATGAAGCAGATGCTAAGATAGAGGACTGTTTTGCTAGCACAGACTGGAATATGTTCCGTGATTTTTCTGATGGCATTGAGAAGTACACCATATCAGTCACTGGCTTCATCAATAAGTGCATTGATGACGTCGTCCCCACAGTGACCATACGTACATACCCCAACCAGAAACCATGGATTACAGGCAACATCCGCATTGCGCTAAAGGGTAGAGCTGCTGCTTTCAAGGAGCGGGACTCTAACCTGGACACTTATAAGAAATCCCGCTATGCCCTCCGACTAACCATCAAACAGGCAAAGCGTCAATACAGGACTAAGATTGAATCGTACTACACCAGCTCCGACGCTTGTCGGATGTGGCAGGGCTTGCAAACTATTACAGACTACAAAGGGAAGCACAGCTGCGAGCTGCCCAGTGACACAAGCCTACCAGACAAGCTAAATTACTTCTACGCTCGCTTCGAGGCAAGCAACACTGAAGCATGCATGAGAGCATCAGCTGTTCCGGACGACTGTGTGATCACGCTCTCCATAGCCGATGTGAGTAAGACCTTTAAACAGTTAAACATTCACAAGGCTGCAGGGCCAGACGGATTACCAGGACGTGTACTCCGAGCATGCGCTGATCAACTTGCAAGTGTCTTCACTGACATTTTCAACCTGTCCCTGAATGAGTCTGGAATACCAACATGTTTCAAGCATGTTCCCTGTGCCCAAGAACACTAAGGTAACCTGCCTAAATGACTACAGACCCGTAGCACTCACGTCTATAGCCATGAAGTGCTTTGAAAGGCTGGTCATGGCTCACATCAACACCATTATCCCAGAAACCCTAGACCCACTGCAATTTGCATACCGCCCCAACTGATCCACAGATGATGCAATCTCTAAAGCACTCCACACTGCCCTTTCCCACCTGGACAAAAGGAACACCTACGTGAGAATGTTATTCATTGACTACAGCTCAGCGTTCAACACCATAGTGCCCTCGAAGCTCATCACTAAGCTAAGGACCCAGGGACTAAACTCCTCCCTCTGCAACTGGATCCTGGACTTCCTGACGGGCCGCCCCCAGGTGGTAAGGGTAGGTAACAACACATCTGCCACTCTGATCCTCAACATGGGGGCCCCTCAGGGGTGCGTGCTCAGTCCCCTCCTGTACTCCCTGTTCACCCATGACTGCATGACCAGGCATGACTCCAACACCATCATTAAGTTTGCCGACAACACAACAGTGGTAGGCCTGATCACCAACAACGATGAGACAGCCTATAGGGAGGAGGTCAGAGACCTAGCCGTGTGGTGCCAAGAGAACAACCTCTCCATTAACGTGATCAAGACAAAGGAGATTATTGTGGACTACAGGAAAAGGAGGACCGAGCATGCCCCCATTCTCATCGACGTGGCTGTAGTGGAGCAGATTGAGAGCTTCAAGTTTCTTGGTGTCCACATCACCAACAAACTATCATGGTCCAAACACACCAAGACAGTCGTGAAGAGGGCACGAAAAAGCCTATTCCCCTTCAGGAGACTGAAAGGATTTGGCATGGGTCCTCAGATCCTCAGAAGGTTCTAAAGCTGCACCATCGAGAGCATCCTGACTGGTTGCATCACTGCCTGGTATGGCAACTGCTGCTCTTTAATTATTATTATTTGTTATTTATTTAAACATTTTTACATATCTATTTTTTAGTTAACACTTATTTTTCTTAAAACTGCATTGTTGGTTAAGGGCTTGTAAGTAAGTAATTTCACTGTAAGGTCTACACCTGTTGTATTCGGCGCATGTGACAAATAAAATGTGATTTGATTTGATAATCCTTGACGTCCAAGTTGAAGGCTTTCTCACAGATTTCTCATTTATGAGTCAATTCAATTTCTCCCAGCCAGAAACCTCCTGAGGCTCCTTTAGCTGCTGAAAGACTTAGAAAAACCACCCTGACACATGCTCCTGTAAGTGTAGGGTGTAGAGCAAAAGAAGGCGTGGGGAGGTGGGACAACCAAGGGCACTTAGGGAAGAGCCTTTCCAAACAGGGTCACCATCACTGGAGCGAGAAATCTGACTGGATATCGGCTGGTTCAGTTCTCACACCTTCAGGTCAACAGCCCACCAACAAGCTCTGGGTAGTGGCAGAGAGGCGATCGTTATTTTATGTATACATCCCAAATGTCACCCTATTCCCAACATAATGCACTACTTTTTACCAGGGCCCTGGTCAAAAGTAGTGCATTATGTAGGGAATAGGGTGCCATTTGGGATGCAAACTATATGTCCATGATGGCAAAGTGGCTGTGAAAGTGTACTGTTAGCTGTAGTAGTAGACTTGCTGATGTTGTCACAGAGGAGACTGGAGTGTGACTGTGTCTGTCTTCACTATTATCGGCCTCTGGGACTCTGGAATCTACTACACTACACTGTCAATGTGTAGAAATGTGTCAAACACAAGGTATATTTTACAACAATTTTCACAAATGGAGCAGTGTAAAAGCACCCAATGTCCTCCCTGTTCACTCTGTAACAGTAAGGTGTGATTCATCTTAGGATATCTGTGAATTTAATTACTCACTTGGCGGAGCATGAGAGGGGGTTTCATAGGAGGGCTTGTGAATGTGATGGTGATCGATGCATTTACCTTGTTCTTCTCATCCTGAATGAAGTCTAGCAGTTGTGTCGTGTCACCCTGATTAATACACATCAATCCAGCATTCTGGAACAGTTCATGGTCCTCTGGCCTTAAACCATCTTCCACCACGGCTTCTCGCTGTAGAGAAACAAAATGCCAACTGACACCACACCACTCACAGAGACAGCTAGTTCAAAGTAATAATTCTGACAGTATTATGCATCTGATTAGTCATATTATTGTAGAAAATGTAATATCAATCATATTATTATAAGCATAGCTAGTTGTTATCATTCTGGTATGAGCCACTGTTAGCATGTTAGCTTACCCATCTCTGGATGACGTCCTGCAGCTGACCAGCCATCCTCAGCGTTTGTCTTGGCTAACAATCCTGGAGGGGTCCAAAAAATAAGAGTGTGAATATTCAGAATATAGAAGAAATACTGATAATATCTCAATTACTGCCAAAAATAGGACACCGGATAGTTACTGTTGCGGTTTGAAATGACTAGCGGTGGAGGTAGAGGTGGACTGTCCAGAGCCCTCAGTCAGTAAACCTCTTATCAAGCTCTATGTGCCTGAGCTATAATAGGATTAAAGCAGTTCTACATGGTCACGGCAGACAACAGAACTGTCTGGAAGGCTCTAGCTGAGTCGAGGGAGACTCAATCAATCTTAAACCGCTAGAACTAACTGCATGCTGGTGGTCTGGGTTTGTTTTATTTTATTTTAATGAACCACAAACATAGGCTCCTGTAGGGAAGTAAAGTTAATATATTGTACATCAAATGCATAACAGACTCTGTGTACTCTAAGAACCAGTACTGAGCACTGGCCTAAACTGTATCAGCTTGCTGCGACAGACAGACAGACAGACAGACAGACAGACAGAAACATACACACACACACACACACACACACACACACACACAGATGTAGCTACTTGAGGAGCAGCTCTCCTAGGTCTTGATTTGAGATAAATAGTTAGGGTTAGCCAGGAGCATGTTTGAACGGTAGGATTTAGCCAGCAGCTGCTGGTTAGGATAGGTTTGCTCTCTGTATTGCGCCGTGATGAAAGCAAAGCCCTGAACAAAAGGCACAAAGCAAATACACGCAGAGACAGTCAACAGGGCCTCTGTGTGCTGTGTTGACTCTGATTTAGTCATCTTTAATTGGAGACTGATGATTGTTGTGACGGTTACTTGTAGCCTACTGTATGTCAAAGCTGCTTACAACAATAAATGAAAAATCTCTGTGTAGGTCTAAGAAATATCTGGAAAGGAGAGGGGAAAGAGAGAATTCTAAAATAATCAGTTGTAGAGGATAACTTTATAAAAGAAAGTAGCACATATTGTTCATGCACTGTACTCACTTGAAATCAAAGACAACCACAATGATACATTGGGTCGTTCGTTTTCACTACACAACTGAGACAGCCAAATACTTCTATTATGTATACAGTGCATTTGGAAAGTATTCAGACCCCTTGACTTTTTTCACATTTTGTTACGTTACAGCCTTATTCTAAAATGGATTAAATTGACAAAGCAAAAACCGTTTTTTGCAACAACAAAAAAAGAAGACATTTACATAAGTATTCAGACCTTTTACTCTGTACTTCGTTGAAGCACCTTTGGCAGCGATTACAACCTTGAGTCTTCTTGGGTATGACTCTAAAAGCTTGGCACACCTGTATTTTGGAGTTTCTCCCATTCTTCTCTGCAGATCCTCTCAAGCTCTGTCAGGTTGGATGGGGAGCATCTCCAGAGATGTTCGATCGGGTTCAAGTCCAGTCTCTGGCTGGGCCACTCAAGCACATTCAGAGACTTGTCCCAAAGCCACTCCTGCATTGTCTTGGCTGTGTGCTTAGGGTCGTTGTCCTGTTGGAAGGTGAAACTTCGCCCCTGTCTCGTGTCCTGAGCGCTCTGGAGCTGGTTTTCATCAAGGATCTCTCTGTACTTTGCTCCATTCATCTTTGCCTCGATCCTGACTAGTCTCCTAGTCCTTGCCACTGAAAAACATCCCCACAGCATGATGCTGCCACGACCATGCTTCACCGTAGGGATGGTGCCAGGTTTCCTCCAGACGTGACGCTTGGCATTCAGGCCAAAGAGTTCAATCTTGGTTTCATCAAATCAAATCAAATTTTATTGGCCACATGCGCCGAATACAACAGGTGTAGACATAACAGTAAAATGCTTACTTACAGCCCTTAACCAACAATGCATTACTTTTTTTATAAAAGTAAAATAAAACAACAAAAAAGTGTTGAGAAAAAAAGAGCAGAAGTAAAATAAAATAACAGTAGGGAGGCTATATATACAGGGGGGTACCGGTGCAGAGTCAATGTGCGGGAGCACCGGCTAGTTGAGGTAGTTGAGGTAATATGTACATGTGGGTAGAGTTAAAGTGACTATGCATAAATAATTAACAGAGTAGCAGCAGCGTAAAAAGATGATGGGGTGGGGGTGGGGGTGGGGGGGGCAGTGCAACTAGTTTGGGTAGCCATGATTAGCTGTTCAGGAGTCTTATGGCTTGGGGGTAGAAGCTGTTGAGAAGTATTTTGGACCTAGACTTGGCACTCCGGTACCGCTTGCCGTGCGGTAGCAGAGAGAACAGCCTATGACTAGGGTGGCTGGAGTCTTTGACAATTTTGAGGGCCTTCCTCTGACACCGCCTGGTATAGAGGTCCTGGATGGCAGGAAGCTTGGCCCCAGTGATGTACTGGGCCGTACACACTACCCTCTGTAGTGCCTTGCGGTCGGAGGTCGAGCAGTTGCCATACCAGGCAGTGATGCAACCAGTCAGGATGCTCTCGATGGTGCAGCTGTAGAATTTTTTGAGGATCTGAGGACCCATGCCAAATCTTTTCAGTCTCCTGAGGGGGAATAGGCTTTGTCGTGCCCTCTTCATGACTGTCTTGGTGTGTTTGGACCATGATAGTTTGTTGGTGATGTGGACACCAAGGAACTTGAAGCTCTCAACCTGTTCCACTACAGCCCCGTCGATGAGAATGGGGGCGTGCTCAGTCCTCTTTTTTTCCCCTGTAGTCCACAATCATCTCCTTTGTCTTGGCCACGTTGAGGGAGAGGTTGTTACCAGAGAATGTTGTTTCTCATGGTCTGAGAGTCTTTAGGTGCCTTTTTGGCAAACTCCAAGCAGGCTGTCATGTGACTTTTACTGAGCAGTGGCTTCTGTCTTGCCACTCTACCATAAAGGCCTGATTGGTGGAGTGCTGCAGAGATGGTTGTTCTTCTGGAAGGTTCTCCCATCTCCAGAGAGGAGAGTGACCATTGCTGTCAGAGTGACCATCGGGTTCTTGATCACCTCCCTGACCAAGGCCCTTCTCCCACGATTTCTCAGTTTGTCCAACTCTAGGAAGAGTCTTGGTGGTTCCAAACTTCTTCCATTTAATAATGGAGGCCACTGTGTTCTTGGGGACCTTCAATGCTGCAGAAATGTTTTGGTACCCTTCCCTAGATCTGTGCCACGACATAATCCTGTCTCGGAACTCTATGGACTATTCCTTCGACCTCCTGGCTTGATTTTTGCTCTGACATGCACTGTCAACTGTGGGACCTTTATATAGACAGGTGTTTGCATTTCCAAATCATGTCCAATTAATTGAATTTACCACAGGTGTACTCCAATCAAGTTGTAGAAACATCTCAAGGATGATCAATGGAAACAGGATGCACCTGAGCTCAATTTCGAATCTCATAGCAAAGGGTCTGAATAAGGCTGTAACGTAACAAAATGTGGATAAAGTCAAGGGGTCTGAATACTTTCCGAATGCACTGTATACATTGAACAAAAATATAAACGCAACATGCAACAATTTCAAAGATTTTACTGAGTTACAGGAAATCAGTCAATTGAAATAAATTCATTAGGCCCCAATCTAAGGATTTCACATGACTGGGAATACAGATATTCATCTGTTGAGCACAGATACCTTTAATAAAAATGTAGGAGTGTGGATCAGAAAACCAGTCAGTATCTGGTGTGACCACCATTTGCCTCATGCAGCACAACACATCTTCTTCGAATAGAGTTGATCAGACTGTTGATTGTGGCTTCTGGAATATTGTCCCACTCCTCTTCAATGGCTGTGCGAAGTTGCTGGATATTGGCGGGAACTGGAACAGGCTGTCGTACACGTCGATCCAGAGCATTCCAAACATGCTCAATGGGTGACATGTCTGGTTAGTATGCAGGCCGTGGAAGAACTGGGACATGGGTCCGTGCATTATCATGCTGAAACATAAGGTGATGGCGGCAGATGAATGGCATGACAATGGGCCCACGGTATCTCTGTGCATTCAAATTGCCATCGATAAAATGCAATTGTATTCGTTGTCCGTAGCTTGTGTCTGCCCATACCATAACCCCACCGCCACCATAGGGCACTCTGTTCACAATGTTGACATCAGCAAACCGCTCGCCCACACGATGCCATACATGCTGTCTGGCATCTGCCCACTATAGTTGAAACCGGGATTCATCCATGAAGAGCACACTTCTCCAGCGTGCCAGTGGCCATCGAAGGTTGTTTACGATGCCGAACTGCAGTCAGGTCAAGTCCCTGGTGAGGATGACGAGCGTGCAGATGAGCTTCACTGAGATGGTTTCTGATAGTCTGTGCAGAAATTCTTCGGTTGTGCAAACCCAGTTTCATCATCTGTCCGGGTGGCTCGTCTCAGACCACAGCTGAAGAAGCTGGATGTGGAGGTCCTGGGCTGGTGTGATTGCACGTGGTCTGCGGTTGTGAGGCCGGTTGGATATGCTACCAAGTTCTCTAAAACGACATTGGAGGCGGCTTAGGTTAGAGAAAGCTCTGGTGGACATTACTGCAGTCAGCATGCCAATTGCACGCTCACTCAAAACTTGAGACATCTGTGGCATTTTGTTGTGTGACAAAACTGCACATTTTAGAGTGGCCTTTTATTTTCCCCAGCACAAGGTGCACTTGTGTAATGATCATGCTGTTTAATCAGCTTCTTGATATGCCACACCTATCAGGTGGATGGATTATCTTGGCAAAGGAGAAATGCTCACTAACAGGGATGTAAACAAATTTGTGCACAAAATTTTAGAGAAATAAGCTTTTGTGCATATGGACAATTTCTGGGATCTTTTATTTCAGCTCAAGAAACATTGAACCAAAACTTGACATGTTGCGTTTATAAGTGGAGCCAAATTATTAATTATTTTCATTGAAATGCAATGCCCAGTATCACTTGGTGTCTTCACAGTCCTGGACACAATACAGATTGACACTGAAGAATTGTTCTCTTTTGAAAAGGGGAAAATCATCTCAACTTCACATCAATATTTTATTGTAACTAAGTAAAAAGCCAGACCCTTTTCAGCTCAATAGAAACCTATGACCAAACTCCACCTATAGAGGGCCCTGTTTTCACAATGTGAGCTGTGGGGGTTCAAGTGGAGCTGAGCGTAGAGCCATAAGGGAGCAATGTATGTATAAGATCAATTCAGCTAGTGATTTCAGAATATAAATCAGTTTGTACAGTGATTTGAAGAGCTTGTTGAGATATGTTAA